CCGTTCTGTACTTGTATCAAACAACACAGATAATAATATCACTAAGATTAGACACACTTTACACTAAGCTGGAAAGTACAAGATTAACTAACATAGATGACAAATGTTATTATAATTTACACTAAAATGAAAAAGTACAAGATTAATTATTATATGTGTGACGAAAGTTAAGTAATAAATCAAACAATGAGAAATTGCTGCTTCAAGGTGTAGATTGAAATATGATAATTCTCAAAAATGTACTAGGCTTTTATACATTTCCCATTGAACAGCTTGAAATTGGGACAGTTTTTACAAATAAATTTGATTCCTTTATTTTACAGTTATTAACAGTTTTCTGAACAGTGATCAGAACTTTTTTTATCTGATGTACCTGTACAAGTTACCTGTACAACAATTCTGCACCAGACTATAACTCACTAACATCACAACCGACCTCCTATGTATACATGTTGTCATAGGTAGAGTTGGGTCCCAATCAAAACAGTATCAGCGCGGGTCTCTCTGAGCAGAGCTGCGCCTTCAAAGAACCAGACCGAGGCTGGAAGGGAGGACCATCCCCGGTCTACCAACCGACGCTGTAAAAACTACGAAGGATGGTCTGGTAGAAGGAGAGACATGGAAACAGATATCACAGAGATTCTCCTCTGAACAAGAACAGCACTGAGTACACGCAGTGTTGGGGTCTGAATCAGTATAAAATGGCCACGCCCATCAACCACGACGTTGTAATTAACTTCAATAAGAAACAATGACGTGAAGGTATTCATATGTCCTTCCTTTTAGGCGATCTAGAACGTTTTGAAATTATTGATATAAATATATTTTAAATGCAAGTTGTAATATCGCAGTAATTAATTCATTCAGTAAGTATAATAACCGGTAGCAAACCTCAGAGCGCCTGGACTCGACCTTACACCCGAAATAGTCACGGTCGTTTTATTACATTTTACTCCAAGTTCTGGAAAAATCAATGTTCAACAATTTTGAAATCCATTTGATTTGATGAAACGGATGTGTAGGTTCCGCTTTAAGTCTCTGACATTTGTCAACTACTTATAGTTCCGCCACTTGTAGAAAACAGCTACAGGCGAAAAATCTCTCTTGGGTGACTTACCTCCCTTACATTGTTTCCTGAGTTCTGTTTCCAGCGTTAGAGAGATTTCCCTCCCTTCTACCTTTACCATTCGTAATTCGGATGAAATTTCGGTGTTCATATCCAAGCCGAATTTCTTAAACAATTAAGTTTTCTGGTAGATCGAAAACCAAAACTGATATCATAACTTCAGCCGACTTAAGTGATTGTCTGTAGATGAAATTAAACTGTTTTGTTATGTTATTTTTTCTTTCACTTGTAACGCGTCACGGTATGTGAAAAAGAAAAGAACAAAAAATAAACGAACAACAAACAAGCGTGGTTTGTTGGTATTGTGATGTCAAAATGATGTTTTATCTCTGGTACTGTGTAATATAAAACCATATTCAAGAAACTACCTGTTAATCTACAAACATCATTTCCACTGATCGTGGTTCGGAGGGTTATTTCAGGGAGCACACCTGACTGTACGGTGGTGCTGAATATCTCGCCTCAATCCTTAAATTTCCACTGAGTTATTGTACATTTTTCAGCAGCGGAGATTTCGAGACAGAAAATGTCGGACACTATCATCTTATGCGAAAGGTAATCCACGAGCTTCGAAATTTATGTGACGTTAATCCGAAGATGATGTTGGTCTTAAGTGAGAATTTTAAGTGGGTACTATACAGGTCATTTTGATGTTTTTTTTAGCTTTCTTCCCTCTGTGTTATAAACTGACATGTGTATCTAACAATGTCAGACATCTGAGAGGTATGGATTAGCCATTTAAGCTATCCTGTTAGGACTATGAGTTAACACAGAAAAAATAGTTAGTGGTACAAGCTCAATTATTTGTGATACTAAACCGGAAAGTATCGGGGACATCTCCAATATAACCTAAGAAATCCAAATCAATCTAACACATGAAATACAACCAAACTTAAAATTAACAATCGTACGTAATTTTTTTTATCTCAAACGTGGAATGATATATATATAAGAAACTCTCCTACTCTCAGTTAATGTTAACCAAAGATCAGCATCACAGGACTAACATACAACAAGTGTTTTCTGATATGTAGTTCACATAAATTAAACCGTGACATTGAATATAAGCCAAGGTCATATACTTTCGCACATATTCAAAGTCACAGGTGTCAAATTTGTTAGACCACTAAACGACTTCTTCTCATGAACTAAACGGTCTACAGGCATGGTATTTTGCTACTAAGTTCCTTTGATAAAACCCTACAAAGTTTACGAAAGTAAATAACATTAACTTATATTCAAGGTCAGAGAGGTCAAATTTGTTCAAACGTTCAAACGACTTTATCTTATTAAATAAAGGACCTAGATGCATGATATTTGGCTAGTGTGTTCCTAATTAATGTGAAGCCTGACAAAGTTTGCGAAAACAAATGACCTTGATTTATGTTCAAGGTCACAGGGGTCACATTTGTTAGCCCGTTAAACGACTTCTCCTCGTGAACTAAAAGGCATAGAGGCATGATAGTTTGGTGAGATATAGATACCAAGTGAGCGCTATAGGCCCATTGGGCTCTTGTTTATTGTTAGTACGTATTTTATACATTTTCATTTACATTATAATGCTATACAGATAGCTGATTTCCATTGTCCAGCTTGACCACCTCTTTGGTTCGGAAAACCCCTCTCAAATTTAGCGCTGATAACGTTACGTAATAGAAATGGGAACGGGGCAGTTAATTTTGTAAACACGCACCACGTGAAGGTCGGCAGAAATGACAGCAAGAATTGTAACAAAGTAATTAAATCCCGTTTTTCAGCTCCGAATTTTGTGATGGATGTGACAAATGTTATGTGATAACTCAAGTCAATTCACATTTACGAAATAAGGACATTAATTGTCAACATTACTACGACCAATTCAGGCGAGAAGTCATTTTTGTTCACGGGCAGATCTGTTTTGTGCACATACGTTATCATGTGTGACGCAAAACTACATCTCCAGACTGTTGATCTTATTTCTTATATTTATTAATGAACTTCTCTTTGTGCACATGTCAGCGAAAACCAGCTGTCATTGTTCAAAAGATGATACCTTTGATATACATGTTCTATAATTAAAAGAAGTCAGTTAAAAATAGTTTTCCGTGATTATTTAAAGTACAGAAGGAACAACGATTGAAATGTACAAGAAACGGACCACTGTGTCCTTGATGATTTGAACAATGATTGTTTCACACAAGGCATGTCAACAGGCCAATGTCAACTAAGAAAACAACGGGTCGCTGGTTGGCCATGCCAGCCATAATCAACTGATCATTTCATTAAGAACAGGGCTACATTTCACCTTTTCGCATTTGCATAAGCGTTTCCTCGAACTCAAATAACATGTTTATTTACATTAAAATTCTGCAAAACACGGTTTGTACTACATTTCAAGTTAATTTAAAAATATGTCTAATAAAACAGCTACACGACAAGCTGATTAAAATACAGATATTAGTTTATCATCCCAATACTTTCCGTTCATTAATGATAATGAGATTGTATTACACGACAACCTTGGTTTAACCTGTAGCGACGAAAAAAAATTCCTTTAACCTCGTGCGAAAAAATTAAATATCGAAAGTAATCGTTTTCACTCACACGACCAACATCTAGGACTTTTATCTGTATCTTAATCCGTGCATGGACCAAAAACAAATAAATATTCACACTATTTTGATCGCGCGGTGAATCACTCGATAAGAGGCACTGAGGCAGTTACTCAAAGGTAAATCCGGACCGGTATGTACAGCAAATATCGAAATGTTCGGTCAAAACTGAAAGTTATTTTCAACGGAGGGGACAATTCACTGGAAATTCAAAATATTGACTGTTTATGTACCCTCCGTTAATAGATTTCATCTTAGCACAGATAATCAGAAATATTGGTATAAAATCGCTTAAGAGAATACTTCTCCGTTCAAAAACATGGTCAAGTACACAGTCTTGAATAAAGTTACCATTTCGTTGTCGCCGGATTACTGATTAAGCTCAGTTTCAAATCAATAAAATTGAATTATGTTCTGCTGTCGATCGAAACATGCTAAACGTGTGGGTAAGGATTTTGTTAATACTGTCTCGAGAACATCTGATAAATGCATATAGCACATGGCTACTCTGTTGTGTTGATAGCGTCATCTTGAAATGTCCCCTCCGGACCACACATGCGGTATCATTATAGTCGTATAAGAGTTTTTTTTTCAAACTGACGTAGAATCTTACCGGCGACGTGTATAATACGATATCCTCCTTCTCATAGTTTAAAACTTTGTCTAGAGGTCTCAGCAGCATTTGTTGGTCCAAGGAACCGTGCGCGGTCTCCTTCTCGGTGTATAGGAGTTGAAAACGTAGATAATACGCAGTCTAGGTCAGTTTGTAGAATATAAAACGATAAGTATTTATAACGTATATATAACTTGTTAAATGAAAACGTAAATACGATGCTATTCTAGTACATATTATTACTACAAAACTAAATATATAACAATATTATCATACATTTATCACATGTTAGCGACTTCGTCTATTTAAATGTCAAGAAGCCGGACATCAGCTGTTTGTTAAAGCCATGTGGGCTCTCAGACGGTTAATCTAAAACCGCTTAATTGGGTCAGGCTATTCCATTTACTCGTGTCATAATATAACCACAGATCTGCTACTGCATACTAAAAGCTTACTCAGTTGTCGTCAGTCAGATAAACGGTGTCTTTATTTTTAATGATATCGATAAGCACAGACGAGTTTTATGTATAGATTCGCTTCGCTGATTTTTAGGAAAACCGCGAGTGTTGAGGGACTGTATACCCTCGAGCAGAAATGAGATCGTCCAAGCGATAGGTTCCCCTCGCCGAAAAAGATTTGGTACTTATTACTTACACAGCAAATCTGCAAGATGGCGGTGCGGGAGCTTCATCCCGTGCTGAAACTATTCCTGATTTTAACTTTTACACAATACATTTGTGCAGAAGTTTTAACCCCACCCTACTTTAATTTGGCTCAGGGACGAGAGATCACTGCAACAGCAACTTGTGGCGAGACACCCTCCGGAGGAGAAAGCAGAGAACTTTATTGTCGACTTACGGGTGCAACGGGTCAAGAAAGATCTAGTGGAGATACAGCATTGATTCAAGGACAGTACTGTGATTATTGTGACCGGAATGAACCTGGAAAAGAACACCCTGCAAGTTATGCCATTGATGGGACGGAGCGATGGTGGCAGAGCCCCCCGCTCTCTCGGGGTATGGCATACAACTCCGTCAATCTCACCGTCAATTTGGGTCAGGTACGTGAGTAAAGAAAAAAATCAATAGTAAAAATAAGTTTAAAAGAGTTTGCATTAGGTAGACATCCGTGGGTGCCGAATTTGTCTAGTTGACCTTCGCTTTAAATCCTTAGATTACATAAACATTGACGGTTAAACTGAAACTAGCGCTTCAGAAATTACCGTAAATATCATACAATTTCGAATGCGTGCATCATATAATGGGGACTTCAGAAATAGTGGTGCGACTGGTTGTACAGGTAACCAAGAGTGATAAAATTAAGTTTACCTCTGCAGTTGTCAAAACCATCATTTCAAGTTCTCTATTATCTTGAGTCTTACTGCTAATTATAAAGTGAACAGCTCTTTGAAATTGTGAATATTTGTTGGAAAGGTATAATAAAAGGGAAAGCTTTTCAGCGGACAGTGTTTGAATCTTCAACAGGGGAAATAAAGGATAGTTTAATACTAAAATATAATCAAAACAAGAGGAACACATCAGGCCTTTTTTCCAGGGGCTCTGTGGGGCCGGGTATTGGCCCCATTCCCAGTATTAAATTGATTTCATAATATGACCAATTTCCTCCAATATATACCTTACTTCTATTTAAATTCCCCCTCGGTTGATAACTTTTCCCCCTCAAAATGAGAAACCTGAGTTCACCATCATCAATATTACTTCATAGTGAATGGTCACATAGGGTCAAAGTTCACTTTATAGTGGGAGAGGTCTCTTAAATTTATTGCTGGTTTAAAGAACAATGTTTCAAACAATTTCAAAGAGATCTGCTCTGGTACACCAAAATTGAAATACATATATCTCATTATGGTATTAGTTTGGGTGTTTTACACCCCTTTTTGCTTTGCAGTGGTTGCGGCTGAAGGTTGAAGGTCAAATCATTATTTTCAAGGGCTTAGCTAGAGGTGAACTGCCAGCATTATTTTTCTGAAGTATTATGTTTTTAGTGAAACATGCAAGTTAAGAAATGAAGTTTCTTAATAGAATTACCCCTTTGATTGCCCAAATTTTGTCTGAAGCATTCTTGGGTGAAGGGTAATCAGTTATGTATAAAGGGTAGATGTCAGCTCCTGGGGCAGAGGGACGGGGCCCAATAGGGGGAAAAATAAAGTCTTCAAAATCCTGCTCCTGTTGGAATGCTTGGCTTCTGGCAAAATTTAGTTTAAAGTATTCTTAGGTGAACAGCAATCAAATTTGTGTAAACAATGAGTCACAGCTCGATAGGGTGGGGCCAATAGGGAAAAACAACAAATTTTTAAAGATCTTGCTTGTCTTGTTGGAATGATTGGATTTTCCCCAAATTTGCTCAGAAACATCCTTGGAGGGAAGGTCGTGGGGTGGGGATGGGAACAAATTAAGTATTAGTTTTTCTGTCGTCTGGGGCCTGGGGGGGGGGTAGGGCCCAAAATAGGACATTTTGCAAGTTCTTCGAGATCCTACCCCTTAGGAATATTGTCCGCATTTTGTCCGAGGCATTCTTGGATTGAGATGAGTCAATTTTGTTTAATCAGTGATTTGCATCCTTTGGAGGGAGGGGTAGGCCCATTAGGGGAAATAGAGCAAATTCTTTAAAATCCTACTCGTCCTGTAGGAATGATTGTGCCCATATGTTTTGGGTATAATGAGAAAATTATTGCTAAAATAATTATCAGGATCATGTTACAGATCACCTGTCTGTGTCAGCTACACCTGTTTACTTGTAGGTGTAGGTATAGATATAGAAACACCTATTGTCCATTTCTGAACTTAGGCATGCAACCATTCGGTGTCCTCCACATGAGGTCACTAAAAAGAGGTCATCGAGACTTCCTGACGCCCACTAAGACATAGCTAGGAAAATTTGTAAAACTTCTATTAGATTACAGTGTCTTTTATTTGGGAATTTTACGGTCACGATAGGAAGTGGGATCACTGTAATTGTGCCATGTAATTTTTATGTGTTGTGAGTTTATTGTTGATGACTTTTATACAACTTAATACTTGTTGTTTATTAAATACTACAACACTTGTAAGTGTAAATTGTGACATGGGTATTGAATCACAACATAAGTCTTGCCAGTAAATTTTGAGTAGTTTGTACGGCTTGGTAGAGTACACCATGTGGCTTTATATAATTTGTACATCCTGGGTTTCTTAACACACTAAATGACCCGACAAAAAGTCTTGTGTCTGGTCATCCCTCAGTGTAGTTCATGACAAGTGGGTACAGGGTCAGCACCCTCTTTCCCCCTTCTAATGACTAGTCCATTACAAGGAGGATACTGTTACTAAAAGTAGGGTCATTTCCTGACCTCCCTCCTAATGGGCCAGTCCATTACAAGGAGGATACTGTTACTGGCAGCAGGGTCAGTTTCTTTAAACAGCATGAGCCTGTTTCCTATCAAGTATCTGCCACATGTGTTATGGTTCACACATCCTGAATATAGCCTTGTCTTTCTAGGTTCATTGACTGCACACATCTGTTATTAAATATTGAGTATGTGTTTAATTTTTTTTCTCAGGGCATAGGTTGTAACATTTTACATGTCTTGGTCAGTATGAGTATTATCCTTGTCTTTGTACAAAACTCTCTTCTTCTTGTATTTGATGAACAAAGTTCATGTGTTTACAGAAAACACTAGATGAATATGCATAATAGATTTACTTGGGCAGGAATGTTTTCACACGAATTGTGTTGAGCCAAAAAAAACTTTGATAACATAATAAAGCCCACCCATCACAAAGCAGGGGTGGGAGTGTATTAATGGGACATGTTCACTAATTATAAAGATGGTAAAGAGATTTTATTCTGGAAATTTTATAACTTTATAGAGTTTTATGATTCAATTACTGTAGATATATTTCACCATAGCATATGGAAGTTATATAACTTGTAATATAACATATTAAAACAATTACACAATACCTATGTGTACTCATCAGCTACTTCTAAAGCATACTGTATTAGAATGCTGATAGAAAATGTGATAGTGTGAAGAATACATTTGTTATCAAAGAACTGTATATTTGTTGTAGCAAAATGTTTTAATCTATTATTTAGTCATGGTTTCCCTCTGGTAGCTTTTGGTATAAGAACTAGTTTTCTTTATCTTGCTTTGTTGCAAACACAATACAAAATGTAAATTTTTAAAATAATTCCTAATTGATTTTATTGGATGAAAATCCAAGATGTGCAGTTCGATGATCCCTAATTAGAGCGCTTTGTTTTTCTTGTGAAGCTGAGCATGAAAATGTTCTATGGTGTATTGGTTGTGTTATTGGGCAAGAAAAATGCAGTGGTCCTTCAGTATGTTGTTCAGTGAGAAAGCCACCAACTGTAACAAAAAGACCCAGTCTCAAAGTATCCTTGATGATGAAAGGGTGATAAAAGTTAAAACCTAGCAAGTAAACAAACAAATGAAACATATATCTTTTAAACAAAATTTTATCTCCTTATGTATTAAAAAAAAACCCTATATTTATGGGAAAGGGAGTTGGATGGTTTGGAGATGACACTATATATCAAATATTAAAAGCACAACTGAAATGTTACTCTGAGTTTAAATAGGGTAAATAAAAGTCATCCACTGTTGTGAGTGTTACATATGATTGTCACTTGTGTTGACCAGGCACATTCCTGTGTCTTTTGGTATAATTTGGGTGGCAACACAGTCTGTAAATAAATACAGTATTACTGTGCTCAGTAAGACAATAATGGTATACATAGATAAAAGTTAAAGTGAAATTTCTGTAGTTAAATACACAACCCATGAAAATAATAGTTATGCATTTTGATTTATAAGCTAAATTCTGTGTGAGGGAAAAAAATCGTCCGCACCAACAGATTTGTGGTGTAAATACCGGTTACTGGCATCACAATGTATATGTGTGAAGCTGTTCCTGCTTAGATGCGTGGAAAAAATGTTTTTATGTAATAATTGGTCATAAATTTTATCTATTTTAGTACAATTTCGAACAGATTTTCGTCGCTGGTTTATTATACAGTCATAAATAAAATTTTATAGTACTAAATGTGATTTTTATTAGGCTGTTTGTAAAAGTTTAAGAAAATAATTCTAATCATAGCTTTTAATGTTAAATTCATTTCAGTCTATTAAAGTACATATCAGTTCTCTTTTAAAGCTTTTTCACATCATAACTTTGGTTGAATTTTCAAACTTGTACATCCTTTGCACTAAATGTTTTGAAGCAAGTCTGAATAATGTAGCCACCTTTTTTACCACTGAGCTATTGCTGGAATGTGAGATAGCTGTATCTTACTGGGACAGTTTTGCATAGAAATAAGTCTGACAGGTCCTCCGAAGGCAAGGGCTAAATGATTAGATATTATCAGATTAGACTCGACCATAATTTAAAAAAATACTCCCATTTTACCACTTTTTGAAATTAAGATACATTATAACAAATTTCACATGTTAATTTAGAGAGGTTTTTGTTAAGAATTACTGGAGATTGTGTGGAAAGTGTGATCACAAGTTTGAGAGCGTGTCTCACAGGCTTCCATGGAGTGTGAGAAGGGTGTGATCATGAGTTCCCAGGGAGTGTTATAGGAGGATGAGATCATGGGTTACATTTAACTGTCAGGAGGATGTTATCATAAGTTCTCTGGGGGTGTTAGGAGGCTGTTATAATGGTTGAGTTTCCTAGGAGAGTTATAGGGGGATGTTATCATGGGGTAAAATGGAGTGTTAGGAGAGTGTTATTATGTGTTCCCAGAGAGAGATAGAAGGGTGTGATCATGAATTCCCTGGGAGTGTTGGGAGGGTGTTACTATGTGTTCCCAGAGAGAAATAGGAGGGTGTAATCATGAGTTCCTTGGGAGTGTTAGGAGGGTGTGATCATAGGTTCCCAAGGAGTAGTTCATACCACACACCCCTGGACCTGACAGGGGAACTGATGGAGATTATGTTGAGATCCTGTCTACATAATGTATACATAGGCTACTTTGCTTGCCCTACATATCTATATCATTTCTTATCTGTCTGTTGCCATAGTTACTGAGCAGTTAGTCTGATATTTTGTCAGTGTATATATACTGACAGAATTTCTGGTGTTATTACCAAGAATATTCTTGTCTACCAACAGTTTACAGCTGCTTAGCAAGAAATTACTGACTTAACAATGTGTAGCACATGTACCATGGTACAGACAAAACATCATCAATATGGATATATACACTGACAGGATGAGAGGCTCCAATATCCAGATTTTTTATAACTTTTACATTAGTATTATACAAGAAAAATACTTCAAAGGATTTATATAAAAGATATTCATTTTTTTGAAAGTGTTCTTCTGAGTGATGGCAGAATGACTTTGTATCATATTCCCAGAATTTGACCTCTGACTGAATAATGGCCTTAATACTAAACAGCTGCAACTGTCATATAACCTGTCTATGGCTGTGTTGTAAAACACATTTTAACCTGGATATGCCACAAACCATTAATGAGACTCCGATCAAATTTACCTCTGTGTTATGATATTGGAACCTGCCAAATCTGACACCAAATTTACCTCTGTGTTATGATATTGGAACCTGCCAAATCTGACACCAAATTTACCTCTGTGTTATGATATTGGAACCTGCCAAATCTGACACCAAATTTACCTCTGTGTTATGATATTGGAACCTGCCAAATCTTACATCAAATTTACCCCTGTGTTATGATATTGGAACCTGCCAAATCTTACATCAAATTTACCTCTGTGTTATGATATTGGAACCTGCCAAATCTGACACCAAATTTACCTCTGTGTTATGATATTGGAACCTGCCAAATCTGACACCTGAGTAGTCTGACCCTTTATCTGTATGACTTACTGATGCTTAACCTGTAATTTCTTTGATTTTAAACAGAATCCCAGATTAGATAGTTTGTCATTTTACTTGTATGTATCAAATAGAAAAGGTTTTAACTGTAACCAAAATAACACATTGGTTGTGTTAATGTGGGTTATTAACTATAAAACTGATAATTCTTCTACTTTTGTATGGGTGATGTGATAGGAAAATTAAACCGGTTCATAATAATATGTCGTGTAAAGATGTTTATGGATAATTACATATAATTACATATTTATGGTCAACACATACAGGTGAAATATTTTTGTAAAGGGTTGACAGCAGTGAGATCTCCAAACACATAACACATCCTGTATTAGGTATTTACATGAAACTGACATGTGATTGTTTGTTTTAGGAAATGATTTGTAAAGTTTCTGCATTGATGAAAACAGAGGGATCATTATTATGTGTATATAAATGTGAATAATTTCAACTTTATATATTAAAGTGACAGATTCACATTTGTGATGAAAAACTACCTACACATGTTGGTATAATCTGTGTTAATCTTGAAGCTAAATATAGAATTGTGTCTATCGTGGTGGCTGTCAACTCAGTACAGAATGGATTGCAGTGTTGTGTACTTACTGTAAATATCCTTATGCTCGTCTGAAATACAAACATTTTGAATTACTTAGAAAAGACAGCAGGTTTGGTCCTGGCACTAAATTACTTGTCAAAAATTAAGCTGAGAAGTTATCCCATGAAAACTTGAATGATTCTACAAAGTTCAACTTAAGTTGGGTCATGTATCTTGAAACTTATTTACATCAGAATTTCCATGACAGTGTTAGTTAACATATGTAATATGGAACCTGTTTAGTCACAAATAAATCTTATGTAAATCTTCAACTAGGATCTGAATTAGGACTGAAGCTAACCTTGCACATATGAAATCTAAGACTTGATTGATGAAACCAGAATTACAGAACTTTTTCTTTGTGTCGTCTGTCAAGTCTTCATCAATTCAGTCCCTCTCTTTGAGTGGTATTATATATAAATATAGGAGTACAGAACCTATTCATACAGCAGTTGTTTTTGGACTCCGATATAATCAAGTCCTAAACTTATCTCAGGTTTTTCCTCAAAAAAGACTTCCACAAATTTTGAGACCTCTCCTTCGCCCTTAAAAAAAATAAGAGAGAAAAAATTTACATTGTGTTTATTTGGAATGGATGTCTATTGAAAATCTCAGTACATTGATTTTATATCACATATACCAACACCCCACCCCCATGAAGTACAGTGGCATTTGACAACAAGTATTAATATCACATTTCATCACCAATTTTATAATGATGGTGAAAAGTTTGAGTAAACTTACAACAACATGTCTAGATATTTCATATTTCTGTCACATAGTTCTTGGTGTTAGACAAGTAGTTGACCTCATTCACGATTAAAAGAAATTTATACCAGTTACAAATGTTATGACCAACATTTATTTTTTCTTACTTACACAAAAGACTTTATTTTAAAGTATGTAATTATTGTAAAGTAATACCTGATTCTTTGTTAATAATAGTTGGTTACTGAAATTTCAAATTGTTACTGTGCTTCAACAAAAAATTACATGGAGATAGGGCGGGGATCTTCTTTTTCAAAATCTTTGTGATATATCTATTATTAGAAAGTGGACATGCCAAATCAATTCCGCTGTGAACAGCTGTATCATTTTGTATAAAGTGAATGGTTTGCCTGACATGGAATATATTGAAATTAAAATGAAATGAATGAAAGAGGTTTCAGAAGAAATGTGTAGAAATTTGTAAAATCATTATATGGTTACAAGATAGTGCCAGACATTTATAACAGGCTATTCTGAGAATCGGTTTTTTGCATCATTGACCTTTGAAAATGTACAGATCAGATGGGACCTTAGATAGGATATTCATCATGTGCTAAGAAAAAAGGAAATAGAATTTTAAGTAAATCTTATGTTTGATAATGGAAGAAATATGAGTAGAAATTGGCAATGATAGTTTTAAATTGGTGTAAGATATACAAGGTAGCCTATTATAAAAATTGGAAAGAAACAATATACAAAAGTTAAAAACTAAAGTTGATCTTAAAACATTTAATGCATATTTATTAATCTATAATTTTCCATTTTAGGAATTCCATGTGGCCTATGTGTTCATCAAGATGGCTAACTCTCCACGTCCAGGAGTCTGGGCTCTGGAACGCTCTGTGGACAATGGAGAGACCTGGAAGCCTTGGCAATACTTTGCAGACACAGCCAGCGATTGTAACAAGTTCTTTGCTGTGGAAGCTGACACTAAATTGGTCGCTGACGATTCTGTCATCTGTGCTACTCAGTTTTCTAAAATTGTACCTCTTGTTAATGGAGAGGTAAGTATTTTCTAAAGTTTGTAATACTTTCTTAGGACTAGTTGAGCAGGTATGATTGACCAAAAAAATACTGCATTATTTTAGATATTAGTATATGTGTCTACTAAAGCATTTTACTTTTCACTTTCACTTTGAAACAAATGCTCATTTATCCATGGGGGTAGATCATGTTGGAAAATTTAAACAACTTCTCAATAACCAAAATGCCCTGGGTGTTGATATTAGCCCTGTAGCATGCTGGGATGAAGGGCTGCCAAGATGTTTGTCCTTTTTATTGACCTTGACCTACTTTCATACATTCAAGGTCATTGAAGTCAAATATGTTTAAATCTTTAAACTACTTCTCAATAATAAAAATGTTCAAGCTGTTGATATTGGTTTTTTAACATAAGTGGATAAAGGGATATCAATTTATTCAGCTAATTGACCTTGACTTATCATGAAGGTTTCTTTGGTCAAATGGTTGAGATTACAAAAGTTTTTCAACAGGTTCAGAGTAATGGCATTTTTGTAGTAGCATGTATAAAGAATATGATTTCAAGATTGCAGAAAATTTTTCTATGAACCAACAAGGTCAAATTGGTCAATTAATTTTAGGCCTATTTGGCCTGTTATATGTACAGGTCTTTACAGTCAGATGACCGTTGCTGCCTGTAGGCTCTTGTATTCTAATTTTGATATCACTTGGATCGAAATATTTTCTAGAGGTATTGACAGAACGGATGAGAGAGAAAAATCTAGCTATTGGTAACATGTGTGATTTCCCTGGCTTATGTACGGAAAGTTACTGTTTAAAAGGAATACTGTGTTATTTAAAGACTTTTAGAACTAGAATTATAGATGTAAATTATAAACCTGGATAGTGAAAACACTTGTCTTTGTTGAAATTATCCTTCTAGAATTCAGATTTGGACAGGTAAAAATCTTTAGATAAAATCCATGACATTTAATACTTTACAAGAAGGTAAAATTACCTTCTGTCAGAATAAAGAGACAAATTCTGTGGTTTTCTAAGGTCATCTTTCTACCTCAGATAACATTGTAACTTAAGAAAACATTGAACCCTGAGGCTCACATGTCATGTGGCCTCAAATGACCACCGTCAATAGCAATAGATGGGACAACAGTCTTTTCATTTCATTGAAAAACCACTGACTCGGCAGAACAGTTTTTATAGGTTATTATTCATACTAAGTTGTCCTTTAAACTAGGTCATATGGTAAGAGTAGAAACCTGCTATGTTTGGGATAAAGCCCTCATGTAAATTTATACAAAATAGGTCAGTTGTCAATTATAAAAATGATGAAATTGAAGATAGCTTAATATTGTTGTATTTACTATATATAGCCCTGTATGTACGAAATAAATATGCAGGATTTTCTAAAGTTAGATTTTTTTTCTTTTCATTTTTATTGGCCGAATTGCACATAGGATCTTTGTAGGATATTTCTTATATATGTTTAAGATGTGCACCTCCTATTATGGATTCATTGCGGACATTTTCTCGGATTTTCGGGGCTTTGGAACTTAGTTATTTTCTGCAGTTTGGCAGGGAAAAGGGTTACCAGTTTTGTAGAATCAACTCCTCCTAGAGTTTTTGACATAGAAGCATGAAACATTGTAGAATATTTTTATATATGTTGAAGATGTGCACCTATTAATTAAGAATTCATTCCGGACGTTTTTTCTTGATTTTCCGGGCTTTGGAACTAAGACATTTTCAACAGTCTGGCATGGAAAATTCAAGATGGCAGCTTTTGCCTCTCATTGGTCGAGATGTTGTTTTGAGCGTGATAACCTCTCATTGGCTGAAACGTTGTTTTGAACATGATATATAACATTGCACTCATCCTGCAACCCGGCCAATTGTGGCTTTGCCCCATTTTTTTCACTTATGATTTGATGAAGGAAGATGTTTCTGTTGATTGTAAACATCAAATATATTTAACAATTTACATATAATGAGGTGTTATTAATTTCAAGGAGTTACTGTAGTTTATAAACTGGTAAATAATCTAGAAGACAAAACTCAGAAATAAGAAGAAATGGAAAGAAAAAAAAAATCCAAGAAAAAAACTCCAATAAAGGCCGAACTTAACCCAAAATTGTAACTTTAATTTTTAACTGAAAACCGTGATTATTTTGATATAGCAAATTACAACAAAAGAAAGGGGTGCAAATCGTAGCTAGAAAAATAAGGCACTTGGGTAGAAATGTTATCTTTTTAATTTTGATCTACTAGTTTATTTTCTTCATGCAACTTTCATTCTAAGAAAATAATTACTGTCTTCTTTTTCACCAGATTGTCGTGTCTCTTGTGAACAACCGTCCAAATGCCATGAATTTCTCTTATGCGGAGACACTTCAGGAATGGACCAAGGCAACCAATGTAAGGCTACGTCTGATCCGAACAAAAACACTGCTAGGACATCTGATGGCTGTCGCACGTCAGGACCCAACTACAACTCGTAGAGTAAGTATACGACTCATATCCTTGGTGAATTTGTTTAAAAATTACTGTAAATGTAAAAGTTTTTTTTTTTTTTTTTTGCAAATATTGTATATATGTAAGGATATTCTGTTAATGTTTGTCTTAGTTTAATTGTTTGTGTCAATAACCATGAAATGCTTTGACTTTGAAAGGCATCGAATATGAAAACATAATTATATACTGTTTGTTTTTCTGAATTATAAACTTTGGCTATATCATAAAAATGAAACCCTGCCATATAGGACCATTAATCAATTGTGAAAGAAGATTTAGGGATAGATTAGATTTTTTAATATATGTCTTTGAAAGATATTTGTCAAAGAGTTTTCTTAAAATTCTTAAAAATGTTAAAGTTTGCCATTGATAAACGGTTACAGGTGATGCCATGATGACGACTTCTGTTACTGGTTAAACTCCTAATATTATCTCTTGTGTGTATTATAGTACTACTACAGTATCAAAGATATTTCTATTGGTGGGCGATGTGTGTGTAACGGTCACGCTGAGAGTTGTGTTAGGAGTGACTCTGCAAATCCGAACAAGCTTGTTTGCCAGTGTGAACACAATACATGTGGCGACCAGTGTGATCGCTGTTGTCCCAATGCCATACAGAAAAAATGGCAACCTGGACGTGTAGACAAGGTTTTTCAGTGTGAAGGTAAGTGATGTGGGTTGTAAAAGTTGTCTCCCTTCGATAGTAAAGCGTTCTTAATATATTTGTAGAAAGTTAATATATTGATACAAATACACCAAGAAATCAATATTCTGATTGTTGTGTGACATGACCACGTAAGCTGTGTAGATAAAACTGATTTGTGTTTATTTTTGTAGCCTGCCAGTGTTACAGACACAGTGACGAGTGTATCTATGATGAGGAAGTGGATAAACTGGGACAGAGTATCGACATTCATGGTGACTACATTGGAGGTGGTGTCTGTCAGAACTGTAGGGTAAATACAGATTTACTATCGTCATTTGATTTGAATACTTAAAATTAGATGATCTTGTAGAATTTTTGTAAATGAAAGAAATGGAAAAAAATAAACACTCAGAAACCATGATCTCAAGTTCAGACATTTGTGATAAGGAAGAGAAATGTGTGGTGAAAATTCAGAAGTTGCTGTAGGTATGAAAAGTGTCCTTTTCATCCAAAGTTCTAAATATGTTCCTGTCAAGAATTAAAGATGCTTTTCAGTCCTTATATCCTCTTTATCAAAGCTAGAATAAGGTTAGTGTTAAGGCTGGTACTAAGATCTGACACTTGCTTATTGCAGCATAACACAATGGGTGTCAACTGTAACGAATGTGTGCCAGGTTACTACAATCCCTATGGTGTACCACTCGACTCACCAGAGGCCTGTGTCCGTAAGTATCACACTTTTCATTAAGGCAGTTTATTACCTTTATATACAAAAGAGTTCTTCACTTATAAGCCATTAAAAGGTGGTTTTGACACCAGATAATGATAAAATTTTACATAATGTTTAGAAATGCTCATGCTATCATTAAACTTTGTGGATTGTTGTGGACATTTTCAACATCTATAATTATATTTATACAGTCTAACATTTTTATCTTGAACTCATATAATTCAAAGACCCTCTTTATGAATTTTGTTGGTCCCAGTCAAACTTCACACTAAACATTTTGAACTCATTTAAATCAAAAACTCAGATCACTTGAGGTTTTCCTGCGCTTCGCCGACTTTGAGATAACGCGGTTCGAATGCATATGTGGAATGTTGTTTCTATGCAATTTATGATAAAAGCTACTGGTAACATTGTTCATCTAATTATTAGTTTTGAAGTTTTATAAAACACTCACAAGATGCTTTAACCAAATCATGATTGACAACAGATACTAGGATTGAATTGATAAAGATGGTGTTTAAAATTGGTTTTTCATCAAATGAATGATTACCACTAAATGTACAACCCCATGGACTTATTGTTATTGACTGTGATGTGTTCCAGCTTGTGTGTGTGAAGGTCAGAAATACACCGGGGAGTGTGAGGCGGGTACAGGGCGATGTCAGTGTAGTAAGGAATACACAGGTCTCGACTGTGACAGGTAAGGCCTTACAGGATTGGATAGATATTGGTTGTAGGATACAGCAAACAGGTCAAAGGTCAAGAATAGATTTCCATCAGATATTGATACGAGTGCTACAGATCATACAAGCAGTTTTATTTGATTGGGTCATTTTGTTGTTACAGTTGTAGTTTTGGTTACTATGGCTACCCAGACTGTATACCATGTGACTGCCATCTGAACGGTACAGAGGGGACAGTGTGTACTGTGGGTGGAGGACAGTGTCCCTGTAAAGAGGAGTATGTTGGACAGCGTTGCGACATGTGTGCTTTTGGTTTCTACAATTTTCCCACTTGTGAACGTAAGTAAAATATTGATTCTTTGTATGACCTTTCAGGTTATTTTTATCAAATAAAATCACCTTTTGAAATTTTAAGGTATATCAACACAAAATAAGAAAGTAGAATTTGTCTGTAGAACATGGATGCCTTGAGTGTCTTGTAAAGTATTTTAATGATTTTCAATAAATAGAATGGTGACCTTGACCATGAAACCCTGAAACAATCATTACAGTAATGAAAATAGTAAAAGATACTGCATAACAGTACTTGTACACAACTTCATCAACAAAACTTCAACAAGGATTGAGTGAGAAAATAACAATATTCTATCTGTTACAGCATGCAAATGTGATTCAACCGGGTCCACCAGTAATGTGTGTGATGTGGAAACTGGACAGTGTCAATGCCATCCCAACTACTCAGGATTAGAATGTAACCAGTGTGCCAATGGATACTACAACTACCCAGAGTGTAGAGGTCAGTAGGTCAACTACCCAGAGTATAGAGGTCAGTAGGTCAACTTTCCAGATTGTAGAGGTCAGTATGTCAATATCCCAGAGTGAAGTGATCAATTAGTCATTGTGCCACAGTATATTGGTCAGTAGGTCAACTACCCAGAGTGTGGAGGTCAGTAGGCCAACTACCCAGAGTTTAGAGGTCAGTAGGTCAACTACCCAGAGTGTATTGGTGAGAAGGTCAGTTGCCCAGAGTGTATCGGTCAATAGGTCAGCTATCCAAAGTGTTGAGGTCAGTAGGTCAACTACCCAGAGTGTAGAGATCAGTCGGTCAACTACCCAGAGTGTAGAGGTCAGTAGGTCAACTACCCAGAGTGTAGAGGTCAGTAGGTCAACTACCCAGAGTGTAGAGGTCAGTAGGTCAACTACACAGAGTGTAGAGGTCAGTAGGTCAACTACCCAGAGTGTAGAGGTCAGTAGATCATATTAGATTTTATGTTAGCTTCTTAATGTACAATTGTTGTTATTCTGACTCGGGGGTTTGTTTTTCAGAGTGTGACTGTGTAGCGGCGGGTACAGAGGAGGCCATTTGTGACAAGGAGACAGGAGAATGTCTTTGTAAGGATAACTACCAGTTTCCTCGCTGTGACCGCTGTGCTCCAGAGTACTATGGATTTCCACTGTGTCAAGGTAAGTCCCTACACAGTCAGACAACTTGTGATCTCGTAACATACAAAGACATTGAGAAACCTTAAGTCAGATAAGAAATGTTTTGAGGATAAAATGTTTGACAAAATAAATTTAAATGGATGTTACACAGCATTAGATGGGAAAATGGTCAAACCTGTTTACAAAGGCCTCTTAAGAGAGAAGATAATAATAATCTTTATAGACAGGTGACCCTTATGTACAGGTTCAATCTCAATAACATTATGATCAGAGATTAAATTGAGACCAGAAACTTGTGGCATTTATAGACAGGTATGTGATATATAGAGGTGACATTTATAGACATGTATTTACTATGTATATGTGACCTTTATAGACAGGTATTTGTTACATACAGGTGGCCATTAAGGCATGTTAACCTGTAGCATCAAAAAGCTACAGAAAGCTGACCTTTAACTACAGCCTGTGTCATTCTCAATTAAATATGGGTACTGTAATGTTTAGTATAGATTTAGTGTTGATTTGAAATATAAAAACTTACATTTTTAATTGTGATGTTTTGTATAACAGAATGTCAGTGTGCAGACCCTGGTTCCTATAGTAAAGTGTGTCGAGAGGATGGCCAGTGTGCCTGTAGTACCAACTTTGCTGGATATCAGTGTAATCGATGTGCAACCGGCTTTTACCGCTATCCAGAGTGTAGACGTGAGTATTCTAGGTGATATCAATAGTGAGTCTGAAATATCAACTGAAATCTTGATATTGAAGCTTTTAGAGCTATGCTTGCACTGAACAGTATGAGAGAGAATGAAGACTAGAGAATCAAAGATGTAAAGATATAGGTATTTTGTATATGTTGTAGAGAGATTTGTGTTAACATACAAATTTTATAGTTGTTTCTCCTTCCAAGTTAGTGAACGTTTTGTGAGATTCATGTTTGTCATTATGTGGTATCTACTTCAGCTTGTGAATGCGACTTGTACGGAGCCATTGGACAGTCCTGCGACCAGCTGTCTGGGCAATGTGAATGTGCTCCTACATTTGAGGGGCTCATGTGTAGCAAGTGTAAAGATGGATTTTACAACTACCCAAACTGTGAAGGTAGGCCTAGAAATAATCAACATACTTAATTATACTGATTATAATCCTGAGTGGATTTCTTTCAATGATTCTTGGGATTTTTTTATGATAGAAGATTTCAAGAAGAATATTGTTTGTGCCTGTAACCTTAGTTACCAGTCGTGAGAACTGTATTACTTTCCATGCTGAATGCTAGGCTAATTTTGTCCACTAAAAAGTTGTCATTCAGTAGTGAAAAATGTTTTAAATTTCCACATAGTGTACTTCCCCTATGTATGCTTTTTTGATGAATTTCCCCCATTACTTAGGGGATGGTCAGTGTGACTTCAAATGAGCTGTAAGGCTTTTGTGTTTTTTAGAGTGTAACTGTAACCCTGCTGGAGCTAAGGAGATTCCAGGCTTCCCCTTGGGGGGCTGTGGTGTGGTGACACGTGGCTTGTTGTGTGAGTGTAAGGAGAAAGTGATGGGACGAATCTGTGACCAGTGTAAACCAGGCTACTACAATCTCAACAGGAACAACCCACAAGGATGTCAAGGTGAGTGTTGGTGTCAGAGGTCAGTCAACAGACTGTTAAATGGGGTCAAGGTCAGTGTACAAACTGTTAGAAGGGGCCAAGGTCAGTGCACAGACAATTAAAGGGTCAAGGTTAATTTACAGACGCTTAAAAGGGATCACTTGTTCTGGATAAGGTCCTGATTTTTAGGATGCTTCTAATTTCAATAACTTTAGGGCCAACTGTAGCATTTCAGGAAATCTTTCATGGCCTTTCAGGGTTTTGGTCTATCGATTTTTACTTGCTAAAGATAGTTGATAGTAAAATGTCAGGAAAACAGTTTATGATGATATTTAATTACTAGCAGGTCAAGGTCTTTGTACTGAGCTTTAGGTAACAGTGTCAGCTTACTGAAGACTCCAATTTAATTAAATTCTTATCTCCTTGGAGGCAGTGATTGTAGAGAGGATCCAGGATAGTAAAATAATCTACAGGGAGTTCAAAGTGTACAAACCTACCGGGTCAAGGTCAGTACACTGACCTATCCTACAAACCAACAGGGGGAGTCAAGGTCAGTGTACTGACCTACAGGGGGAGTCAAGGTCAGTGTACTGACCTATCCTACAAACCTACAGGGGGAGTCAAAGTCGGTGTACTGACCTACAAACCTACAGGGTCAAGGTCAGTGTTCTGACCTACAGACTACAAGAGGGGTGGGTCAAGGTCAGTCAACTGATCAATAGTTTATCTCAAAAGTATTGTATGTGTTTATTATTGTTGAATTATTGAATAGAACATTGTTTAAACCAAGGTCATTGTACTGATTTATAGGGGTCAAGGATAATTGATCAACCTATATTACGTCATAGGTCATATGGATGAAAGTCTTTGATTAAATTATATATTCATAGAATTTGTAGTAGAATTTTAAAGAATTGAATGGTAAATTGAATTGTTTTCTATGTTAAATAATGTTTTTAAGGTGTGATGCGGCAGAATAAACAAGGATGTAACCATATGAATGGCATGATAATCTATGTAACATCCAAACAGGCTGTTCAAAGATTTCTGTAGCATGGACAATTTTGCTCTCAGTAATTCGAGTCAATAATAGTAAAAGAATAGATGTGATTTTTGTTACCTTTGTTTTCATATACTTCTGTTGATTAAATATTGTGAGTTTTAATGATTGTAGTCTTAGATAGGCATGTTTATACATCTGCCACTGTTTACTCAATTTTTGCTACGAGTCTTTGCTAAGTGATAAGTTGTTTGTTTATAAGTTGTTGTTTTTTTTGGAAAGAAAAAATAATCAAAGCATATAAGATTGGAGGTACATAGTACTTTCATGGTTTTTATTCCAGTTGAGCTTTTACATTTTTACATTTTAAAGAACGACTTTAAAAACCTTTGTTAAAAAGACTTCCTTCTTGACTTTATTTGTCTTTGAACAACCTGGTTAACAATTAACTTGTCTAACTGTAGAGGTGTTTGTAACATTTTCAGCTATACCATTCCGAGGTTGTAAGTAACACATGCACAGTCAAATTATGTGTCACAATGGAATAATGCAGTTATGAGCCTAATTTGATATTTGATAATGGTCTGACAAACTTTAGGTTAAGGAGAGGGGAGAGGGAGGTGTAGAAAATATATTTCTAAAGTGAAAGTAAGTGAGAAGAAGTACACATGTACTTCTAGCCTAAAAGTGGTATAGTATTGTTCACGTCATGCTTAAAAATTGGAACGTATGTGAGAAATACTGGTGACACACATGATTTGACTGTATGTGCTAAGGTTCCACGATACGTGGAGACGTGATTCGCTTTTGGAATTATATTGATATATCTTACCACACTGTACTGGCGTATTAACTGTGTGTCCTCTTACAAATTCACATGTTATTACAATAGCAGTAGGAGTCCTGTTATTTTTCACAACCAAAATTTTTTTATCTTCTTTATGAACTAATCATTTTCAACCACCCTTGTCAATAAAACAAAATTTCAATCTCCTTTGTCAACCAATTATTGTCATGATTTATCTTCTGGAACTGATTATCATAATAATCATTTGATGTTAGATCATTGATCTCGGTGGAAAGAATTACATTTTACTGGTGAGAATTGGCTAACAATAATCTATGGTGAGAGGAGACAAATCATCGACTATCATCGGACCAGAATCCTTGTTCGTATGGACCTTTGATTATCATTTGAAATGTAACTATTTTAAGAACCATTGATTAGCCTTAATAACCAATAAGGAGAAAATTATGTGGCAGTTATGTTTAAATAATGTTACTCGTTTTTTTATCATTATCTAATTATAAGTTTTTTTTAAAGATACTATTCACTTGTGTGTTTTGTATTGTCCTTCATTGTCAACCATTTTGTTTGTAGGCTTTTAAATAAAGACACTATGCCTATTGCACTTGATATAGATATCAATACGTGTTGCTTTCAGAAATACTGCCTCCCTTGCCTACCCAACATTCCTTGATGTTCACGTAGAAACCTGCTGTCCCATTCATGTGGGTCAGTCCTATTTACATTTGTAGGTTCTATACATCATCATTGTTTTCGCTTTGTGTAGAGGGAATTGGTAATTACATATACACCGTTAGTAGATTTGTATTTTGAATGTTCTGCAGTATATTATATTAAATGTTCATTGTGTATTATGCTTTTCATACCTGGACTACCACAGAGCATTGGTTTAACCCAAGTATTCAAACAGCTTCAATTTTCATATCTTGAGAGATAAATATGCTGGCAAATAGATATTGGATACCAAATTAACAGCTTATGTGAGGTTAGCAACTGTAACAATTAGCTTATCCCTGGTTACTGAAGAATTTATAATTGGCATACATCTCAACCCCAGGAACAAAATTATTATCAAAATCATAGTGTACAATGGTCGTTTATTCTTCTGAATTTTAAGACAATTATCAGACTAATAATTAGTTGGGTTATGTTACCAGTATTCTCATCTCTTACAACAGTGTTGATAAGTCAAAATACATCAATGAAATTGAGAATGTAACAAAAAATTAACAATGCAACAATGTAACAAAACATTAAATTGCATGCTTCATTTTCTGCATGTTTTTTCTATCTTTTTCCAGTGTTCATATGTTAATGAATATTTATGTGATTGGAATATTTTCATGTTCTTCTATTGAACATTTTTAATATCAATTCCCATGAATATTTATGAGTTAATGTCTCTTCCACAGCCTGTGAGTGCTATGCCCCAGGGACAATGTCCGGTCTAAGTAACTGTGACCCTGTTGATGGTCAGTGTATGTGTAAGACTAATGCTGGTGGCCGTCGCTGTGACACGTGTCAGCCGGGTTTCTACGGACTCAGCAATGAAAATCCATTTGGATGTGTTGGTAAGTGTTTAAATGCAATAAATGTGCAGTAGAATAAACAAATACACAAGAAATCAATTACACTTTCATTTATACAGAAGTAGTTTATGGTAAATTGAATTAGAAAATTTGTTTCAGTTAGTGTACTAATCTGACTGTCATCTGTCCTAATTTCCTTAATATTTATTGAATTAAAGAATATAAGAGTGCTTTTTTCATGATTAATTTTATAGGATTTAAAGGAGACTCCAAAAATTTTCCTCAACATCTGAAATGCTTTTCAGTGGAAAATTTAATTTTTAGGAACTAACCTTTTGCATGAAATTTCTGACTTTAATTTTAGTTTTGATTCTTGTTTAAAGTGGGACTGTCCAATCAAGTTAGTTTTTTAATTTGGATAATGCAACAGTTTGACTGAGATTTTAAGATCTTGGTTATAACACCATGTATGAGCACTTCCTGATGTTGAACTTTTCATGTTGCCATAGTTTAACTGTAGCATTAGGGGATCCAACTTTAAAGAATGGAAGCTTTCTAATGTTAGTAGTTTTTAATGTGATATTTTTATTCTGTCCCTCAGAGTGTAACTGTGACATGGGTGGATCAGTGACTCCAGTCTGTGACAGTATGACCGGCCAGTGCAGATGTAAACCAAGAGTTCGCGGTAAACGTTGTGAAAGGTCAGTAAATCCATGGGTCTTGGTACACGTTGTGAAAGGTCAGTAAATCCATGGGTCTGGGTAAACGTTGTGAAAGGTCCAACTTGAAAACGTTGTGAAAGCTTTCTAATGTTAGTAGTTTTTTATGTAAATCCATGGGTCTGGGTAAACAATGAGAAAAGGTCAGTAAATCCATGGGTGTGGGTAAACGTTGTGAAAGGTCAGTAAATCCATGGGTGTGGGTAAACGTTGTGAAAGGTCAGTAAATCCATGGGTGTGGGTAAACGTTGTGAAAGGTCAGTAAATCCATGGGTCTGGGTAAACGTTGTGAAAGGTCAGTTAATCCATGGGTGTGGGTAAACAATGCAAAAGGTCAGTAAATCCATGGGTCTGGGTAAACGTTGTGAAAGGTCAGTAAACCAAAGGTTTTGGGCAAGCAATGCAAAAGGTATGCAAACCAAGGGTCTAGAGCAAAGGATGCAAAAGGTCTGTAAACCAAGGGTTAGGGCCAAATGAGGGTCCAGGGCAAACGCAGGGTAATGTCAGTAAACCAAGGGTCCAGGCAAATGTTTTGAAAACTCAGTAAAGCTTAGATGTGGATGTTTAGTAAGATGATGTTCTATGAGTTACAGACTTATTTTATTTCTTATGAATGTTTGTCAACATCTTGTATCGACTACTTAATTCTATACTTTACCAAATGTCTATACTGACTTGAATTTCGTATGTGATACATTGTATGTTGACAGCCCAGACACCCTTCATTTCTATCCATCCCTCCAACAGCTGATCTATGAAATTGAGGATGGACACACGCCAGAGGGTTCCAGCATCAGATACGGTTTTGATCAGGAAATATTTAGTAACTTTTCCTGGAGAGGATACGCCATCCTTACTCATCTGCAGGTCTGTCACAAATGCTGTCACACTGTTTACATAATATAGAATTTGTCTGTCACAAATGTTGTCACACTGTCTACATAATATAGAATTTGTCTGTCACAAATGTTGTCACACTGTCTACATAATATAGAATTTGTCTGTCACAAATGTTGTCACACTGTCTACATAATATAGAATTTGTCTGTCACAAACACTGTCACACTGTCTACATAATATAGAATTTGTCTGTCACAAATGTTGTCACACTGTACATAATATAGAATTTGTCTGTCACAAATGTTGTCACACTGTCTACATAATATAGAATTTGTCTGTCACAAATGTTGTCACACTGTCTACATAATATAGGTTTTGTCTGTCACAAACACTGTCAGGCTTTGTCTACATAATATAGAATTTGTCTATCACAAATGTTGTCACACTGAACATAATATAGAATTTGTCTGTCACAAATGTTGTCACACTGTCTACATAATATAGAATTTGTCTGTCACAAATGTTGTCACACTGTCTACATAATATAGAATTTGTCTGTCACAAATGTTGTCACACTGTCTACATAATATAGGTTTTATTTATTTTCCTGCTATTGAGATGTGTGATCTCATTAAACATATCTTTGATGATTGTTGAATGAGAATATTTGGATTATACACAAGAATTCTCACTTTATTTTTGTGTGTACTTTATTTTGAGAATTTTTATTGTCAATTTTGTTTAAGAATGCTTTGATTTTTTATTTCTAGAACACTAGAGCAGTATTAATTCACTTTCACAGAAGTTTTGAATTTATAAATGAGTCCTTTTGCTAATAAGTATGAAATCTCCTACAAATTCATTTAAAGTATGCAAAATTAGGGGATGGTCCCATGAAACAAATCCATAAGTAGTAGGTAAAAATCTACCATTTTTTACCACTCTACATGAAAAGCAAAACAAGACTACATTACATGGTACATCTAGTTTCATCAAAGTTCAGGGAGGGGTTGGAGGGAAACATGAATTTTAGTGTATATGCATTTTGCTTAAAAAGTACCATTCTAAGAAACCAGGCGAGACCTGTAACTAAGTGTAAATCTTGTATTTATATATAGCCTGAAGTCTTGATGGATGTCAATGTGATGCGACCGAGTCTGTACCGTATCATCTACCGCTTTGAAAATCTGAACGCCTATACTGTTAAGGGGGAGGTAACTCTCACTCCACAGTCAGTGGCTGACGTTAAACAGACCAGTGAGGTATTGTTTGTCCACTCAGAGATGCCACAGTTTGTGACGGTTGGCTCTACAACTGGAGTGAAGGACTTTGTGCTGAACCCTGGCTACTGGACAATCTCTATTAAATCCCCGGACCTTTTGCTCCTGGTAAGGTCTAACAACATAACTACCTATTGACATTTACTTATATAAATCATATTATGGTGATTGTTTACAGATGTTACTCTGCTCCAGGAACATTCTTGACTAGATCTATTTTGTAGGTTACCTTTGAATGTCACTTTGATGTTACCATACATGTCTGGTAATAAGCCCAGGGGGCTAACATTCCAATTCTGATTCATTGTTAGGAGATGAGCTTGTTACAGGACAATGAAATAGCAAATGTTTGTTATTTTACTCAACATCAATAGGTAAAAATTGGTGTATTACCAGGTTTAGGTTTGTGGGATAAAGACATTGGAATAACACAAGGAGGGTGGTGTCTCTCCTATCTATTTATAGATCAGTCCATTGTGATAACATAAGGAGGGTGGTGTCTCTCCTATCTATTTATAGATCAGTCCATTGTGATAACACAAGGAGGGTGGTGTCTCTCCTATCTATTTATAGATCAGTCCATTGTGATAACACAAGGAGGGTGGTGTCTCTCCTATCTATTTATAGATCAGTCCATTGTGATAACATAAGGAGGGTGGTGTCTCTATCTATTTATAGATCAGTCCATTGTGATAACACAAGGAGGGTGGTGTCTCTCCTATCTATTTATAGATCAGTCCATTGTGATAACACAAGGAGGGTGGTGTCTCTCCTATCTATTTATAGATCAGTCCATTGTGATAACACAAGGAGGGTGGTGTCTCTCCTATCTATTTATAGATCAGTCCATTGTGATAACATAAGGAGGGTGGTGTCTCTCCTATCTATTTATAGGTCAGTCCATTGTGATAACATAAGGAGGGTGGTGTCTCACCTATCTATTTATAGATCAGTCCATTGTGATAACATAAGGAGGGTGGTGTCTCTCCTATCTATTTATAGATCAGTCCATTGTGATAACATAAGGAGGGTGGTGTCTCACCTATCTATTTATAGATCAGTCCATTGTGATAACATAAGGAGGGTGGTGTCTCTCCTATTTATTTATAGATCAGTCCATTGTGATAACATAAGGAGGGTGGTGTCTCTCCTATCTATTTATAGATCAGTCCATTGTGATAACATAAGGAAGGTGGTGTCTCGCCTATCTATTCATAGATCAGTCCATTGTGATAACATAAGGAAGGTGGTGTCTCACCTATCTATTTATAGATCAGTCCATTGTGATAACATAAGGAGGGTGGTGTCTCTCCTATCTATTTATAGATCAGTCCATTTGTATCAGGAAAATGTTGTTTTTAGTTTCATAATTATATTACTGAATATCAAAGTCATTAGACTTACTAATGTAAGTCTAAAGGATTTCTATACCAATGTATGACATGTTTTAAATTTTTTTGTATTTCTTTAATGTGACTTTCCTTAAAGCTTAATTGTCATCACAGTATTAAAATCCAGTAGCAAAGTTTGTGATTGAAATGTCTGACCATGTTAAAATGTTGATAGCACATTGTTTTTAGTTGACTGTAATGAGATAGTTCCTTGCTTTACTAGGATTACATGGTGCTAGTACCACAAGCTTACTATGAGGCTACAGTATTGCAGCAGACAGTCACACGTCCCTGTACCATACCAGATGATGAAGGCCCGTAAGTATTGTCCTTGGGAACAATTAAAAACTTTTTAAGGCTGTAACAGGATATTTGTTAATGATATTTGTATGACTGATCTTACTAAGGTACTTTAAAATGACAGGTGTTTTTGAAATTTTGGCAGTTTTACCGAACACTTGTGGCCGGATGTGAGGTATCTTTTTTGTTTTGATAAAAAATAACTTGAAAATATCTTTTACAAAATAAACTTGATTGTGTTAATGCTGGACATTTTTCTTTTTGGTTATGAAATTTTTTAGTTGTACGTATTTGCATATTTCATTTAGTTGTTTACAGTGAGCAGTTGGGTACCAACATAGTGAATTGTAAGTTGATGAGAGACTGGAGTCCTTCTCATAGATATATCCTTCTGTGCTATACATTGGAGGAACATTTTACTTATATGATTTTGATTTTGGCAAATGTTTTAGGTGTCTGTATTATAACTACCCTGACCTGTCACGTTTCCCTGCGGTGTCTGGTGAGAGTGGGTACACTATTGATACAGATGGCAATGTGGTTCCCACACAAGTATTCAGTGACAGAGACATCCTAGATGAACTTGATCTCGACGGAATGGCCAAGTTAGACAAAAACCAGGTCAGTCATCAATATAACTTTCAAATGAATTTGAAAAATTGTGTGTACCTTTCTGTAGCTTTGTGGCTACCATTGCCACATAGACAATATATATAATACTATGTTCATGACTGTACAATTGATGGTAGGTTTGTCTCCAAGAAATCGTAGAAAATTTCTCTTCTTAAAAATCATAGGTAATCACACATGTTGATTTCAATAATGATTTAGTCTCATTAAACTGAGTGATGATTACTTAATATTTACATATCCCTGCAAAAGGGAGGTTTGTTTTTTTAAGGAGGGTTAGAACAAATTATAGTGATTCTAATAATAAAAAGCAAGAATAGAGTTTCCAGATGAACTGTAATTAGTATGACAGTTTTTATTGTTTCATACTTTACAGAATTCACTAAATCTGAACCTGGCAGTTCCTGATGCTGGTCAGTACATCATAGTGGTCAACTACTTTGCCCTATCCAACACAACACAGGAAATAAATGTCACCATGAGGACTCCAGAAGGGGACTACCTTGGAACTGTGTCTCTTAGCAACTGTAAATACAGGTAACCATAGTGATGAATATCTGGTCTCAAATGATAGTGGTCAAGTGTTCGGGTCTTTTGGTTAAAATGCTTTTTGAGCTCTTTACAGGTTCATAAATGTGACTTAGAAATAATCTTTTAAGTCCTTGTGAATCCTGGAATAATGGATTAATCCTACAAAGGTTGTTAATATTGTAGTAAAAATACCTCTGTTACAGTGTACTATGTCGTGAAGTACTGAAGGACCTAAACAGTATGCCAGCTCTCACCTTCATCAACGGAACTGCCCAGATCATCCTCACTGGTGACGATGACGTGGATGTAGCAATTGTAAGAATCCATTTTCTCAAGTTCAAACATTCAAAAATATTGGTTATGATCATCATTTCATGCATGTGTAATATATAATAAGATTTTACATTCTGCTATATTTATGTAAGAAACTGTATTAGATTGAAAAGGTTTTAACTTTTCAATGTAGGGCTCTGTAGTGGCAATCCCATATCCTGATTGGACTCTCGGATACATTCGTCCTAGCATCATCTGCATCCGTATCAACGGCATGTAAGTAGCCACATCAACTCATGTCCTCCATTACGTCAGGTAATCGTTTTTTAAGGAGACAAAAATGCTTCAATGAATTATGCAATAGTTTAAACAACATGTTTTTTTTTTTTCTCAGCTTCTTGTTACTTTAATGTCTGGAAGATAATGATTGAATTGTCTGACGTGATTCTTTATAAGGAGATAACGTTTTTGATTATTGTTACTAGATCTAAACACATGGTATATCAGAAAGTTCCGAGATTTGTGGACCTTGACATCTTATGCTTATTTTGGTCATTTTGTTGATGTCAACATTTTTTTCATTAAATTTTCATGATATTTTTACAATGCAAAAAACTCTTCGCTATAGATTATCAAATAGTTGATACTGAACTATAAAGCTGTATGTGTTGGCTTTCAGATGTATTGGTTCCCAGTGGTCAGTTCCAGCAGACTCTCGTAGGGTTGAGTTTGAGGACCCACCCAATCAAGACCTGCGTGTTGGACCCAACGAGTTCCCATCCTGGATTGTGGGCGATAATATTGGATTAGTGCATCTAAATGATACAGTAGTAAGTTAGATCGACAAATATTGATAAAATTTTGATATCCATGCAAATATCAAACTTACTTAAAAGTTTCAACTGTATGTAAATTTCAGGAATATCTTAAAAAAAAAAAAAACAAAATTTCATGCTTAAAAAAAATTGTGATGATTTTTACATTTTACATATTGACTTACAGTCAACTATTGAGGTGGAGACCACAGTTCAGAATCCTGACCGCTATGTGTTTGTCGTCCACTTCTACCTACCAAGTGAAGCAGGAATTGACCTCCCAGTTACCATTCATGCTGATGGTCAAGTATATAGTGGTCAGTATTCAAATTTTACTAAAAAAAATGAATTGCTGCATCTAAAGCTATGGCTATAAATCATATTCTTTGACAAAGAAAATTCAAGCATAGAAGACACCGTTGACATTTTGTTATGCAAAGGTCTTTCATGAAGTTTGTCCCAATCTGTCTTGTCCTGTTTGTTCCTAATATCAATATCGTTACTTTTGCAACTTCATCTCTGATTCTGGTTATTTATATAAAGGCTGACAGTAACAATACCTGAGAATTGTTGTGTTTAAGGGTTTGACAAGTCACTGTTGGATTCATAAAAAGATTGTCAAACATTGCTATTTACATGTACGGGATTGAGTGATGGGGGACCATTTGTGTCTATCTAGCAGGATTTCTAGTTTTAATTTAAAAAAAAAAAAAAAGAAGTTACTTGCAGTTGTTGATGTTGGAAAAAATGTTTATGTTAAAGACAATGGTATGATATAATATGCCATCCTTCCAGGTATGTTCCGACCGAGGTATTGCCCAGGTGTTTCTGGCTGTCGAGGACTGATCTTCTTTGACGAACAAGACGGCAGCAACACCATTGGTGTGAATGACAACAGGGTCTCCATTCGTCTCAACAACACCAGCGGCCGTGACATCTTCTTGGTAATTGTTCTGAATTTGGTCACAATCCCAAAAGATATATGTGTAGTGAGGGAGGTCTTAATGGGCTATAGCTATATCATCCATCTGTAGAAAAACAACAGGAGATAGCTTTAAATTAACTGCAAAAAACCAAACATACAAAGAAAACATGGCACTGAGGCTTTAAGGAATCGCAAAGAGTCATCCACGGATAAGACGGGGTTAGAATCTCCGTGTTTCCCGGTTACACCTTTGTATGTAAGTTAATGAATGTTCAGGTATTGATAATCCCTTCTTTGGGGCGGAGTTTGTCAATGTCGGAGTCTACAGGTGCAAAAGCAATGAGAGAGATAATAGAATAACAATATTTTTTACAGTAATGTTGTATTTTCCTCTCAGATGACAAGATATATGTGAATATCTAGTGGTATTTAGGATTCATGGTCTTCCCTTGTTACTGGTATTTCTAGGACTACCTGTTGATGATTCCGGCTTCTCGCTTCTCCGCTGCTGACTTAGATGTTCAGCCAGTTGATGACTCTGCTAACTTCCTGGCAAACTGTGTGGGCCCAGGCTTTCAACTTATGTATGTATCCTTAGGAAAACCCTTTTCTTTGCTCATTCAGCAAATGTGTATTTACATATACAGGCACTGACAAGTGATGGACTCTTTTTTTACATCATTATCACTTATATTGTCCATATATGAATAATTCATTTCCCTGAGTCATTAATACAGCAATTTATTGATAATGAAATATTAAAGTTGATTGTTAAAAAAACATCTTTATGTTGATATGCATCTTGTTTACAGAAGCAACTCCGAGTTTTGTCGTCAGGGGATCTTCTCCTTGACCACCGAGTTCAACAATGGTGCTGTACCATGCAGCTGTGATATCGACGGCTCTCTAAGCTTTAGCTGTGTGAACTTTGGCGGTCAGTGCCAGTGTCGTGATAACGTCATAGGTCGCAGCTGTACTCATTGTGCTGAGGGTTACTATGGTTTCCCTAACTGTAGAGGTCAGTACAGATTCCATGAGCATATACATAAAATCTTTAATGATTTTTTCTTTTCATAGGAACAAGTCTGTTTTTATCTTTGGGAGCCTGAGTGAAAATTAAAAAACTCAGAAAGATTCATTTGAAAGTAAAACAACTTAGATGTTTTTATCCCATATCTCAGAAAAAATTGATTTTGACAGGCTTTCATGTCAAAATTTTTGGGACAAAATCAAACAGAAGCAACTATTTCACTATGCCATTTTCAGACATGATCTGTTGTCATTGTGCATATCATGGCATTACAATCGATGTATGACTGGCATGGCCAGTGAAAAATGTTCCAGGGTTTATTACTCAATTGACTTGCAGAATTATTACATGAGTGAACTCAATGGATAACAGGCTGATGACATGTAGAACAATACACCAGGACCAAGACTTATGTTTAGTGAAGGTTGTTATGTTTCAGGTATTTTATTTTCCTCCGTTTTCGAAGGATCAATGAAATACAAAAAATAGATAAATTGAAAATAAAGTAAACAAGAAATCTATTGTTTCATAACTTTTACGAAAAATACATCCCAACAATGGCCAAAATTGGAACCAGTGAAAATAATTTATGGAAACAAACCAACCTTCCATAGTAAATGAAATTAGGACATATAATTCTGAGGATTTTTAAAGTTTAAACCTCTCTAAGAAACTGTTCTCGTAAAAGTATCGCTGCTTAATGATATTTCGTGAACACCTTGATGATTGAATTTATCATTACAACACAGTATCATAACATTGATAGTTGGGCAGTAATGTGATGACAAAAACTGTTGTATATGACAGAGAAATTTTCATAGATTTTAATGTGAAAATGTGACTTGTTTTCAATTAAAGATTTGTTCATAGCTTTCAGTCTGTATATATGATGACTTATTGTAAATTAAAGGATATTTTGCTTTACAGAATGTAACTGCCCATACGGAAAGTGCCATCCCATCACGGGCGAATGTGTTTGTCCTCCCCGCGTGGCTGGAACAATGTGTGACCAGTGTGTGGCCGAGACTTTTGGTTATGATCCTCTTGTTGGCTGTACTGTAAGTTATTCGGGTTACAATTGGAACTTTGTTATGACATGTTAATAGAAGATATCATTTACGGAGATCAATGTTTCTGTTACCAGTTATTTCTTTATAGTTCAAATTTTCGGTTTTGCTAAAAGTAAAATCAATGAAGTCATAAAACAGACAATAAGTCTATAGAATAATACTTCTTATAACACAAACCATTAGGAGATTGGAGTTGGACATTTTGATGATGTCAGACTTATAACTTCTACTATTTGTGTTATATGAATTCTTTTTGTAGTGACCTTATTAACCCAAAGAAAATTTTTGTAATAGACTATGATTCTCTATCAGTTCCATCTTTCAGGTGTATAATTTGTCAATTTTAATCAATTTTGAAAATAACAAAAAACAATTGAACCTCTTGACAATAAAACCTTCACATTAAAACATTGAATTCTAGCATTACCTTAAATTCTAAAGTCTTATTTTTAGAATATTTGTATTTTTCAAATACTAGGAGAAAAGCAAATTACAATTACAGTTGAAAATTGGAAATTTACAGAAATTATTCAAATAATGGTTTGAAATATCAAATTACAAAAAAAAGGAGGGGAGGGTGGTTAAAAAGACTATTTGTGGTGTCATTCTTAGTAAAATTATTAACATATGGTGTCCAATGAATGATTGATTTGTCCATTGTAATGATGAATATTTCACAGTCATTTTTCCATGTTTTGTAGGACTGTGAATGTAGCTACTATGGTGTGCTGAATAATGACCTCAACTGTGAGCAAGGAACTGGTCAGTGCAGGTATGAACAATTCCCTATACTGGATGACCTCTTTAGTTAACATACTATTCCCTGTACAGAATGACCACCTTTCTAGTGAACACATCATTACCTGTACAGAATGACCACCTTTCTAGTGAACACATCATTACCTGTACAGAATGACCACCTTTCTAGTGAACACATCATTACCTGTACAGAATGACCTTTCTAGTGAACACATCATTACCTGTACAGAATGACCACCTTTCTAGTGAACACATCATTACCTGTACAGAATGACCACCTTTCTAGTGAACACATCATTACCTGTACAGAATGACCACCTTTCTAGTGAACACATCATTACCTGTACAGAATGACACATCATCCCCTGTACAGAATGACCTTTCTAGTGAACACATCATTACCTGTACAGAATGACCTTTCTAGTGAACACATCATTACCTGTACAGAATGACCTTTCTAGTGAACACATCATTACCTGTACAGAATGACCTTTCTAGTGAACACATCATTACCTGTACAGAATGACCTTTCTAGTGGACACATCATTACCTGTACAGAATGACCTTTCTAGTGGACACATCATCCCCTGTACAGAATGACCTTTCTAGTGAACACGTCATCCCCTGTACAGAATGACCTTTCTAGTGAACACATCATTACCTGTACAGAATGACCTTTCTAGTGGACACATCATTACCTGTACAGAATGACCACCTTTCTAGTGAACACATCATTACCTGTACAGAATGTCACCTTTCTAGTGAAGTGTGATAGTTGTGTAACTGTCAAACTGTCGGTACTGAACAGACCATCTGTGATCAAACCAATGGCCAGTGTCTTTGTAAGGTAAAGATTAACAATAGATATGTAGACCAGTAAATCAAATTTTAAATGTTCTCATCAAAGTTTTAGATATAGTATTATAGATAAATAACATATACTGTATTCAATCCAATAAGCGCCCAGGGCGCTAAAAATATTGCAATTTAATGGGGGGGGGGCACTTATTAGAGACCATCTTAGATGTAAAAGAATCACATTAAGTACTAAAAATCTACTGTATGGTTCATGTATTTATACAATCACTAGTTTTTTTACATGCAAAAAAACCATGTTAGATATAAAAAGTTTTTTATGTTTTTCTGGAGTACATCACCTTATAAACCGGCTTGAAGCAATTCTTGATTGTGACTAAAACGTAAGCAAATCTAGACTTTTAGGTATCTGAAAGGGGGAGGGGGCGCTTATAAGGACATGGGCGCTAATTGGGTCGAATATGGTATGTGATGTTTTTTATTTATTTACTTAGTTTTTATTTTTTCATTTTCCCTGAATATTTCTAGCAGTTTTTTTAAAAAATGAATATATTTTAAATTTTGGTATTTACCTATGTAGGCCAATGTTGATGGGGGCACGTGCGACAGATGTCAGCCAGGAACATTTAATCTTGACCCTCGCAACCCCAAGGGATGTACCAGATGTTTCTGTTTCGGCACAACTCAGACCTGTGACAGTACCATCTTTACCTGGGACATGGTGAGCTTACTCTAGGAATATCTGTCATTAGTCAATCTCAGATTAAACGTTATATGACTCGGCCATCATTATTGTGCAGTCTCTTAGTAACTGAGCAGTCTATCATTGTATGAACAGTCTGTTTATATTTTAACAGTCTCTCAGTAAGTGAAGGAATTTACCCTGATATTTAATATATGTATTTATATTACATTAAAATATTAATATTATATATAGTATATATAAAATATATTTAATATTACACAAGTAGCAACCATTGTTTTTTTTATGACAACATTCCGCACTTCTAATTGGTCAAAAATTGCTGTGCTGTCTGCTTGGATTAATGTATTTGCTGATGGAGTGTTAGGCCTATTGTAAATACAGACAGTAAAACATCCGTTTATATGATTTAATGATCAATAGTAAGTATACAGGTGAGATCTTTTTGGAAGTGTTTCAAGATTTGTTTTAATGGATGGATATTTTTATGTAAAATGGAAAAGCAGCTAACTTGTTCAAATTCAAATGACGAAAACCTTTGTTGTTCTATTGTTACAGCACAAGGACATGATGGGATGGACAGCCACAAACGTCGACCCAAGTGCAGTGCGAGAGGCTGGAGATATTGTGGCTATTCTGAATGTACAGACCTATATCACCAACTCTGACGAAGCCATTTACTGGAGTGCTCCCCAATCTTACTTGGGCAACAAGGTCAGTATTTAGCACAGAACAATGGATATAATCCAAGGTCATTTGGGTAAGGACATAAGAGGTCAATGGGTCAATATATGAAGTCGTGCTGATGGTATTAGATTTGTATGGATCTGGTTCAAGAAATCGTATCTAGGAATTTTTTTAATTTGAAATTTCTGGGTCCTTAGATCATAAACCATATCCAGTATTCCAAGGTCATGTCAAGGGTTAGAGGTCATGTTTAGGAGATTTGAGTTTATAGCTGGTTTTGTTTACCTGTTGGACCTGATTGGTCATATAACAAGGATGAAATTTATAATCTGATTTCACTTTATACAAATCCTTGACAGACTTTTATGATGTATTAACATCTGCAGGTCAGTTATGATTTTACAAGGAAACGTTACATTTAAAATTATATGCACTACTTTGTTCACCTAAAGAAACAGGTCCATGGTGTCAGATGATAATGACATATATGTAATGGAAATAGCCCATCATACTCTGTTTGTGTAGGTGGTGTCCTATGGTGGTCGTCTGCAGTATTCCTTTATCTACATGCTCGAAGACCCCACAACAGAAGAGGAGACTACCGGACCTGCTGTGATCCTTACAGTAAGTGTTCCCTAAAATAACGGTGAAGGATGCTATCTTCATAGTAAACTAAAGATGCCACCCCAATAATTGATCATTAGATTCATAGCAAATTTTGGACCCTTTAAGGCAGATTGCTAATTTTCATAAAAATGGCAAATGATAAATTGTTACAAATTAAATATGATACGGAAATGAATTAAAAGACCCGGAATGTTCATGGTAAAATTCATATTCATTAAAAACTAAACAAAAGTTTTGATCTGTTTCCTTAAAAACAATTTACTCAGAAATGTTATCTGTCCAGACAAGTGTGTAAACATTTATATATGATATCAGAATCATGCATGTGTCTACCCATCAATATGACATCAGTTAACTACATGACAGATCGGCCAGCTCTGTGATCAAGGAATGTAAAGAACTCTTATAACTATCACAGGCAGTTAAAGCCGATATTCTATCAAAGATTGAGGTAACGTCATAAACAGATGTCTATAATCTTATATAAGATATATCTGTTGGTCTGATTGAATATCTGTGTTTACAGGGTAGTAACATGACCATTATGCACATGCTTGATGCTGCTGATTACCAAGGAGGTGGTGTTTACGAGGTCACAGTACCATTGGTGGAGGTAACTTCAATTTAAATACTTCTGATAAATACTTCTTTGTAGAGAGTTCAATTATATATCTTTTTCTCTAATTCAGATGTTAAGCTATGGAAAGTTAGGGCTTTTATCTGTTTTTGAACAATTCACAATTTTAAATCTTCATATTTTTTTTTTTTACCCCGCCATGGTCAGGAGCATATAGTGTTACCCTTGTCCATCATTTGGTTATGATTTTGTTTTACGCTGTAACAGATATAGAACTGTGATTTGATATGTCAGGCTTAGATTTGGTTATTGCCATTTTTCCATTGTTATGGCCATTTAACTGAATTCTAAATAAAATTTTTACAGATATTAGCCTAACTTCAGAAGGATTTTTTTTTAATTCTTCAAGCAGGACTTCAGTTTTATCCCTGAACATTTACTATTGATTCTGCAGACATGACTTTCAATTCTATTTGATGAGTCGCGAGCACATCTCTTAACGATGACAATAACAGCACAACTTGTCCTTGATTGGTGGTTGGGTCAGTCATATCACCCCATCACACCTAGGGTTATTGTAACTGTAGTTTGTTTCTGAATGCCTCCATATCTATCTGGCCATAAGCCCAGAGAGGCTAGACACAGCGAGGAAGATGTGCTAATTTCAGGACAAAAGGAAAAATAACTGTTGGCATTAAAAAAAAAAGACAGTTGGTGTGGGTAGGCTTATTACCAGACATGGACTTATTGTTAGATCAATACAGTGATGGCTGATTCAGTTGTAGAGTGTTTTAGTGCCTAGGGAGTTCTTTCTTGTTGGTGCATAAAAATCCAAATTGATGTCAAATAACTTTTTTATATAGTAAGTTGATATGCTTTTTGCATGTGATATAGTTACACAGTATGATTGTTCTTCCTTTGTAGGCCCAATTTCTGTATAGTGATACAAGGACATTCGTGAATCGTGACAATTTCATGTCAGTCTTAGTGGATCTCCAGTCCATACACATAAGATCGGCTTACACCACCAACATTGACCAGCTCAGGTACGTATTGGAAAGATCAAGGTCAAAAACAAACACTAGTACATCAAGTCAAGGTCGTCATTTAAGCTTGATCAACAGAAATAAGACTACGTCAATAAGATCAATTAGAGGTTTTCAGACAAATGAGACGCATACTTCTCAAGTGTTCAGGGTTTTTTTTGGTTTTTTTGGTTTTTTTTAACTTTTTTATTTTTGGTATTTTTACACTGTAGAGTTGATGAATACCTATATCTCTGTACAATAAATTATTCTGAATTTTATGTCCATAGCTCGTTTTTGGGACATCACTTATAAGATGTTATTTCTTGTATGTGATGCATGATGTTTTACCCAACAGGCTGATGAATGTGACTATGTTGGTGGCATCCCCTGATGGTAGTGATGGTCAAGCTTTGTCTGTAGAGCAATGTAATTGTCCTCCAGGTTACACAGGCACATCTTGTGAGGTGAGGGCCATGTTTGACTTTATCATCATTCTAATATCTTTATCTGTTGAAATTTAGTATAAATGTTTTCTATAAAATGGCTTCAAATATTACAAACAAGAAACAAAATGCTGAAGGTGAAAGAGATGCAAATGCTGAAAAGTGTAAGGTGCTGTCCCTGTTGGAGTATATTTATCATAGGGAAGGTCATTTATCAGCATTTCAATGAGAACAAAATTTGCTTGTTGTATTATGACTTTCAGATTGAAGGAAAATTTTACAAAATAAAGAAAATGTTACTGATTTTCAATAATTGAGTGAGGCTTTGTATTGTAAAATGGTTTGTATTATTTTGTAGAGCTGTTCTCAGGGATACTACCGCACTCAAAATGCACCATTCCTTGGTGCATGTATACCGTGTATGTGCAACGGACACACAGATACATGCGACCCTGATACTGGAATGTGTTTGGTAAGCACTCAGTTATAGACATTAAAAAAGGTTGAATATTGTTGAGTAGGGCTAAACTAGATCCTATTCTTTTTCAACTTCATCCATAATATTACTTCATAACACTAATCGAAGAACACAAGAGTTACTGACCTTTTTCTGATAGAGAGGTATAACGAGGTATCTAAAGTTTATATTCCTGTAAAGCAGATTGTCGATAGCTTTACAAAGCATTTAATGTGTGTGGAGTTTAATTTGATATCACTCTGTGTTTGTTTGACAGGGTTGTCTTGACAACACCATGGGAGACCACTGCGAGACCTGTCTGCCTGGTCACTATGGTGACCCGTCCCGTGAGGGCTGTACCATCTGTAGCTGTCCTCTCCCCATCGCTAGTAACAAGTTAGTACAGCAGAGTTTGTCTTTAAATAAAACCTTTCAGCAATTACATTCACGTGTGATATGTTATTTAGTGTAAAATTTCAATGGTGGACTTCGACCTTTTTTTTTTCAGTTTTGCGTTTGGATGTAATGCTTACAATGGTGAGATGGTTTCCTGTGACTGTCAGCCGGGCTATGCTGGTCTCCTCTGTGATAGGTAAGTTCTGTACAATAGATACACCAGTGTTGACAGGACCACAGAGATAGACTGTGATTTAGATAGGAGAGGTGCGAATATGGGGCCAGTTGAGTAAAGGTGAAAAAGTTTAGTGTTTTATTTGTCATTTCATTCATATATACTATACTATACACTTGTAATCCTTCAGAAAGATTTTTACTAGGAATGCCAGCAAACTTTCCAATATTTGTTAAGTAGGACAGTATTAGAATAGAAAAATGATATTCAAATATTCATTTTTCACAATTGTTTGATAGAATTTGGAAGATCATTAAAATTCATTTATTTGCTCTGTCAAATGATTGTCAAATTTTCATTCTGACCTGCTTTTTGTCAAGCAAACAATCAAGGTATCAGTGGTGTTCAAAATTTTACACCTGTATAATTCATATGACACTAATTAGCCAAAGGCAGGAGGGCTTGAGTTCACCCATATTCAGGTAAAACAAAGTGTTGTATGATCAATTATATGAATATTAGTCTTCTTTGATATTTAGCTAGTTTGATTGTAACACGGTCCGGTCCAGCATTGTTCCACATGTGGATATAATTATTTTTGTTTTAAGGTGTATTCTGAAACAGTTGATTTAATGTAGTACTATTACAATTGTTTTATTTATATATGTTTTGATACTACTTTTGACTTCTGATTTATGAGAGGATATATTGTTTCCTCAAATCTTCTCATTTCTGTGATATATTTTCTTGATATTTTTATATTTTAGAATCCCAGTTTTAAAGCTAGACAATTTGGTGTAGACAACTTTTCAGTCAAACTAGTTATATGCTATGTTAATCATATTAAAACAAAACGAGTCATTGTAGGTACCATTATGTTCTGTATTGGTAAAATGTTACAGTACAAAGGCCTAGTATATAAAGATGTGCACGCTGAATTTGAAAGTTGCATACCATATGGAATTGACATTAATTTGAGTATTTGAATACAGAATTAGGCTAATATTTATATAGTTATTTTATCCTGCTATGAACTAGATATATAGATTGAGAACAATACATGAATACTGACATATAGGTGGGCTTATTACAGGACATTGATATAGAATTTGTTGTCATTTCTACTGAAATCGCACTTAATGTCATATCCATGGAACATACAACAAAATACAGTTTCTGATTATCTCCCGTTTTGTAGATGTGCCCCAGGTTACTATGGCAATCCCAATGAGGAGGGCGGTCGTTGTGAAATGTGTCAATGTTCCGGAAATATTGATATGAACAACCGCGGCTCGTGTAGCGAGGTGACTGGTGCATGTCTTATGTGTGACAACAACTCAACAGGCGTCGACTGTTCTCAGTGTCGTGATTGGTGGTATGGTGATGCTGTTGAAGCCAAAAATTGTCAAGGTATTGGAAATGTTCCTTCGATTCATTACAGTAATGAAAATATCAGTATGGCATTAACCTGTTCTGTAGGGCGAATACTTCCAGACATTCTGTATACTTTATATTATAATTATAACACCTGTGTCCTTACAGCCTGTATACCTGTATTTTACCTGTAGTAAGTGCCACTGTATAACCTGTACTATAATTATAACACCTGTGTCCTTACAGCCTGTATACTTGTATTTTACCTGTAGTAAGTGCCACTGTATAACTTGTACTATAATTATAACACCTGTGTCCTTACAGCCTGTACCTGTGACCAATGTGGTTCTCAGCTGTGTGACAACGCTGTAGGACAGTGTATGTGTAAACCAAATGTGCAGGGCGAGGACTGCGATAGCTGTGCAGTGAGTAGAATTACTTACTTTTAGTACTTATTGCATGATACAGAATTCAGGATAGTCTGTATCAGTTTTTCTTTACAATTACACTCGACGTCAATTTTTCTTTCAAATCTACTGGAATTAAGAAATATGTTTTAAATTAAACAAATGAATTCAATGATTTTTTTCTCTCAAAATTGTTTTCATTAGTTTGGTATAAATTTGATAATTGATGGACTCCCATTATATAAGTAAGAAATCCAAGGTATTTAATTCAATGCACAGCCCAACACATATGGATTTGACAACTGCGAGGGTTGTCGGGACTGTAACTGTGGACTAGCCGCCACCAGCCTTCAGTGTGACCTTGTCAGTGGACAATGCTCCTGTCAGCCGGGTGTTACAGGCCTGATGTGTGACGAGTGTATGGACGGCTTCTTCGACTATACTGCAACTGGTTGTCAAAGTGAGAACAATCATTTTCAATTTCTTAACATCAAAAAGTTTTTATTGCAAAAGTTAAAACTTGTGAGACAACTTTGATGAAATATATGAAATGAAAACAAAATTGAAAATACTTTTTATCACATAAATCAAAAATATTTCACTTTGACGGATTTAATGGTAAAATGTGGAGGGCAATATCAAATGACGGTGGCCATATTGTTGTGCCATTTCCACTTCTTGAAGTAATGTCCTTGTCCAGATTGTGACATCGCAATCAATTTCATAATGATGCAGTCGATGAAAAATGCTCCAGGATAAATAAGGATAAAGATATATACTCGTGGCATATATGTGAAAAATTTACAAGGGGGTTAATTCACAGGATAACAGTCGGATAGCAAGATAAAAGCTGTTTCTAAAATAAAATTTCTATGATACATGTACATTGAAACCCGTTGAATATCATGTTCCATTTGTTGGGGGAAAATGTGATAATAAGTGGAATGTGACATAAACAGTTGACACATTTTTTTCCGGACGTCTTAACCCAGAAGTTAATTTTCTGATGTGCCAAACTAACAGAAATTGTTTGTAGGTAAAACAATTGAAATTATTTGTTTTTCCCATAAGAACAATGAGTTTCCATAGCTTTCATTTGTTTATTCTTTGAAATACCTAAATTGGAATCATGAATTATCTTGAATGATGATGTCATCATTATGTAATATTCCATTTATATGTGGTTCATACATGACACTTGTCATCAGCTGATGTTTTGCCACATAATTCATTCTTTCTTTGATATATAGGCTTTATAATGGTGTATCATAGCAAAGTTGATATATGTACAGTGTTTATCTCTGCAACTTTGATCAAATGTGATCTGAAGATCGCAGCTCAAGCATTACCACAAAAAAAAAGCTAACAGAGTGTGTATTGTTCAACTTTGAAACGCCATGTTTCACTGACTATTAATGTAAGTGGTTATTTTTAATGGCCAAACAGATGTCATGAAAATGGCATATGGAAAATAATGGTAATACATAGAAACATGTGTTTCAAGAAAATGTGATATTAACTGGAAAGTGACATTAACAGAAGTGACATTAAGTGGGTTTCACTATACATATTCACTATACATATTACTAAACAGTTAACTGATGCTTTTAATGGCAACAATATAAAGTGGAGTAAAGTGGATTATCATGTTGCTGTGTGTGTACAGAGTGTGACTGTGAGGCAGATGGTGCTATGACCTGTAATCCATTTACTGGGGTGTGTCAGTGTCTGGAGGGTGTCACTGGTGAAAGGTGTGATAGATGCCTTCCACGCTGGATCCTCGTACCCAATGAGGGATGCCGTCGTAAGTTGTCTCTTCACCCATGAGGAAAGATAACCTCATTAAAAAAACTATTAAAAGAACTTTTTGTCAGTACTTTGTTTTATTTTTTGAAGTAAACTGCTTGTACTTCTGTTGTCAAAAAGGAATTAGGCTACAATTAATGTATGAATTTTGATCTACATCTATTTTAGTGTAGCATAAAATAATGAATCGATGCAAACACAAAATGATGTCATGGCAATATTTTTACGCTGTCTTTAGGTCATTAACGTCATTAACAATCGCAGCTTATCTGTTCCATCCCCTCTTTGTATTCTAGCCTGTGACAGTTGTGTGCACATTTTGCTGGATGACTTAGAATTCATGGATAGAAATCTAACCAGCTTGACCGGTAACCTGGCAACAGTCTCTGTTGGAGTGACAGCCATGAAGCGTCTGCAAGCCATCAACGATTCAGTCGCCATTAATGGAGTATGTTTTTAGTCAAGTTTCTATTAAAGTGTGTTACAGAAATCAAAGTGAAAAACGGTGATAGAATCGGACATTTTCATTTTCTTTTTAACGATTTAACCTGATATTTTGATAACAGTTTTGATAAATAAATCAGAACTACCAATGCCCTGTGTATATAGTGCTAGTGTTGTGTATTATATAAGGGTACCAATGGCCGTTAAATATGGTAATGTACATAATATTTTCTGTAAAGAAAAAAGATATAACAAAAAAGGATCAGGGCATCAAAAACCAAGATAAATTCCTGTAAATAAAATCTTGAAGTGAAAGATCTTTTCTCCTCCATGGTTCTTGAAGTAAAAGATCTTTTCTCCTCCATGGTTCTTGAAGTAAAAGATCTTTTCTCCTCCATGGTTCTTGAAGTAAAAGATCTTTTCTCCATGGTTCTTGAAGTAAAAGATCTTTTCTCCTCCATGGTTCTTGAAGTAAAAGATCTTTTCTCCTCCATGGTTCTTGAAGTAAAAGGTCTTTTCTCCTCCATGGTTCTTGAAGTGAAAGATCTTTTCTCCTCCATGGTTCTTGAAGTAAAAGATCTTTTCTCCTCCATGGTTCTTGAAGTAAAAGATCTTTTCTCCTCCATGGTTCTTGAAGTAAAAGATCTTTTCTCCTCCATGGTTCTTGAAGTAAAAGGTCTTTTCTCCTCCATGGTTCTTGAAGTAAAAGATCTTTTCTCCTCCATGGTTCTTGAAGTGAAAGATCTTTTCTCCTCCATGGTTCTTGAAGTAAAAGATCTTTTCTCCTCCATGGTTCTTGAAGTGAAAGGTCTTTTCTCCTCCATGGTTCTTGAAGTGAAAGGTCTTTTCTCCTCCATGGTTCTTGAAGTAAAAGATCTTTTCTCCTCCATGGTTCTTGAAGTGAAAGATCTTTTCTCCTCCATGGTTCTTGAAGTAAAAGATCTTTTCTCCTCCATGGTTCTTGAAGTGAAAGATCTTTTCTCCTCCATGGTTCTTGAAGTGAAAGAATGGTTCTTGAAGTAAAAGATCTTTTTCCTCCATGGTTCTTGAAGTAAAAGATCTTTTCTCCTCCTCCATGGTTCTTCCAAGTGAAGTAAAAGATCTTTTTCCTCCATGGTTCTTGAAGTAAAAGATCTTTTCTCCTCCATGGTTCTTGAAGTGAAAGATCTTTTCTCCATGGTTCTTGAAGTGAAAGGTCTTTTCTCCTCCATGGTTCTTGAAGTAAAAGATCTTTTCTCCTCCATGGTTCTTGAAGTAAAAGATCTTTTCTACTCCATGGTTCTTGAAGTAAAATAACTTTTCTCCTCCATGGTTCTTGAAGTGAAAGACCTTTTCTCTATGGTTCTTGAAGTAAATTAACTTTTCTCCTCCATGGTTCTAGCCTAAGATCGACAAAATGAAAGCAGCAGAAGATGCATTTTCCCTGACACCACTGAGGCAGGCCGTTACAGAGATCATAGAACTGGCAGATGACACCGTGGCAATGGTCAGTATTTGTGAATCTTTTGGTTGATGTAAGAAGTCAAAGGTAAACTATCGCAATAATGTAGATGGTTAGTAATTTACTAATGGTGATACGGTGGTGACTTGTGTTATATGGCAATTTTTTTACCCTAACCATGCAGAATTATTTCCTCTCATCACAGAAACATTTTCAACAAATTAGGACACTAAACTCCTTTTTGTTTTTGGGTCACTGTCTGTCTTGTTTACATGTTTGTCAAAAATATTAATTCAGAGCAATGACCAAATATGTGACAAGGATGTGTCCTAAGTTTGGATATGTATTGATGATGTGCACATTCTTTATCTTACAGTCCAATACACAGATAGTGTCTGCTGGCCTGGTAAAGGAGGAAGCTGAACAATTCCTCACCAAAGCCCTTGACCTTGAACAGAACAGTGAAGATGTCAGTGCTGGATCTAATGGTAAATATGATATGATGATAGTATTTGATGCCCAAATGTACACAAGAAAAAGAAAATATTTCTTTTTTTTTTCAGTTTCAAATGTATAAAGACATCAAAGTGGAAATGGCTGACAAAGTCTTAAAGACTTAGAAATAAAAAAAAAATAACTTAAAATTTTGAAATACCTAAAAGTACAATAATTTTTGTTGAAGTCTTAAAATGAAGATTGCTTCTTTGACCTGCCATCTTCTGTCTTTGGTGAAGTAAACATAACATGTAGTGTATTTGTAATGTAATCTTGACACTTCTAACTGTCAGAGAGGTGACTGTTGTAATCAGTATCATACCTTTGTTGGTCATCTCTCTACAGTCATCTCTGGATATTATCTCAGAATCCACCTGTCTTAATCTCACAAGGTCTTACCCATTGATACAGAGATTAACAATATAGATTGTACAAGTTCCTTAAGGTCAAGGTCACCAATTCTAGAAATAGAACAAGACTCTGTTAGAGATATCTTAAGCTGACATTGGCTGTGCTAATTTACATATGCACTTGGAGTATTGATTGTGTTACTCCAGTCAGTCTCTGCTGTTTATTTCATTTAGACAGAAATGAGTCAACCATAGAATTCTTCAAAAGTTTTAAAGTAATTTAAAATTTAATTTAATTTAAAATTTAAAAGTAAATAAATATAAATAAATGAAAAATAAACAATTGCTTCTGTCTTGCCAGTAACTTTATATACCGTAGTATTTTGGAAAATGACCTTTGTACGACCTTGACCTTACAGTGGCTGTACAGGAGGTTGAAGATGTCCTTGCCACCATCCTGAGGGGGATCCAGGTGACCAACATAGACACATACATCAAGCAGTCCATTGATCTTTTGGATGACATCATGGCAGTCAACATAACTGGGGTAAATGACAGAGCAAACGCTGCTGTTATTGACATTTTAGGGTGTAAGTATACAACAAAAAATGGTTTAGTAATTTACAGAGCCTAAGTTTGGTCTATAGATTCTGTGAAATTGATGAATAGATGTGCCTTGATCAATTTTGTTTTGATAGAAAACTAAGTGCACCAGTGGGAGGAGAGGTATACTGGATTATGTCACATGTCTTACTTTGAGTAATTTGAGATACATTTCAGGTTGTCAAACAAAGTAATGTTTACCAAGGGAGTATACAAATGATGTATTGATAGGAGTTTTGTTGTTGTATTAGATTTTGTAAACTTTACATCCCAAACCCTGCTGGCTTTGGTTTTGGCCTACTGTTGGAAGTTTATGAGGTCGGATGAATGTTACTTCTGATTGGTTCTTTGCTTGACTTAATGATTTCAAGATTTATCAATTTTTATGTCCAGTTGACTTGGACAGATACAGGGTTGCATACAAGGAGAGTGAGAATGAGGCTGAAAGGCTAGCCAATGCTGTTAACGACCTCGCCGACAGTCTCTACAGCCTTCAGGAAAATGGTCAGCGCAGTCTCACTAACTCTTCTGACACCATGGCACTTGTTAAAAAGATTAGACAGCTGTCTCTTAATATCATTGGAGTAAGTAGAAAAGAATATTCCGGGTACTTAAACGGACGGTTTAGAACATAAAGCTTTTAAAGAAACCAAAATCAAAAGATTAAAGTAAATGCCTTACAAGTTTTTTGTTGTTGTCCAATTGAATTATGCTGAATTTGTGATCTATTTGAACTACGATGAGGTCTGGATCGCTGGGTTTTATAATGTAAGTTGTCATGATGACTGATTTTCATTTTCAATCAGCTGCGTCTGAAGGGAATTGAAGAGTCGAGCAGAGATACAGAGATGATACTGAGAATGTCGCAAAGCGAAATTGATGCAGCTTTGGAGGCCTTACAGACCTGCAAGGCTGATACGGAGGTTCGTATACATTTCAGACCTGAGTTAGGTAAACTTTTGTTAGATTAAATGGCTTGAGGTTATGAGTTAGGGAAACATATGTGAGGTTAAATGGCTTGAGGTTATGAGTTAGGGAAACATGCGAGGTTAAATGGCTTGAGGTTATGAGTTAGGGAATCATTTGTGAGGTTAAATGGCTTGAGGTTATGAGTTAGGGAAACATATGTGAGGTTAAATGGCTTGAGGTTATGAGTTAGGGAAACATATGTGAGGTTAAATGGCTTGAGGTTATGAGTTAGGGAAACAGTTGTGGGGTTAAATGGCTGGAGGTTATGGTAATGATGAATAGTCTGCTGTGTAGTAGATATTAGTCATGTGTTACTTGGTAATTTGTTTGTATCACATTTGTTTTATATCACGTTTATTTCTTGTGTATTATTTTTAGACGGTGAATGACCAATCGTTCACAATTGTGTTATATCACGTTTATTTCTTGTGTATTATTTTTAGACGGTGAATGACCAATCAGCTGCTCTAACTGACAGTATCAATCAGCTGAAAGTCATCGACGACAACTTGAACAGCAGCTTGAGTGATTTGGATGAGAAACAAATGCAGGCACAGGCACACGCAGAAAGCTTGGTTGATCAGGCTAAAATGCTGGAAAGGTATTTTGTATAGTGTAAAATCAACAAGTTAAAAAAAACAATAGCGATTTCACAAATTTCAAATTTCCTTAATTTTTCTTTTGGCAAATACAATTTTCAAACTATCAACACACTTAAGAGAAAGGTCATCTAATTTTCATTTTTCTTTTTCATTTTAATGAAGACAGTAATGTTTTAGACTTCTGTATTGAACTAAAAGAAAACATTAACTGATGGATTATATATTTTCATGTCATAAGCACACGTGTGAAATATCAGAAGTCCCAACTTGCCAAACCACCAGCTCCCCAACCAACACCCCAATTTTTGTTTTTGCTTAGTGGGCCCTACCATATCAGATAAGAGTGAATTCTGTCTTTTGTTTTTGACAGTGTGTACACAGACACGCGTGACACTGCTGCCCTAGCACTTCGAGCAGCCAACGCCTACGAGGGTATTGTCATGGCAATCAATGATGCTCAAAACGCCTCACAAGCGGCAACAGGGGCAGCGTCCAGTGCACTGGGAAAGGTAACACATGAACTAGTGACTATGATATTTGACTTCATTGTATGTAATTTTATATGCAAATTAATTGCAAGTTGCTGATGTTAGATACTGCTAAATGCTGAGCTATGTCCACTAATTGTCAGGCTATGCCTTGCTTGTGTGTTTTATTGTTGTTGTTACATGTAAAGCTGTCCTACCAGTGGTATGGTGTATCAGTCAGATTTTAAACAGCAAGCTTTTGATGGTACAGCATTATATTGATACGAATTGAGAGGAAATTAGGTCTTTGTTGCTTTGTATATGTATATATATGTATGTTATATATAACACCAGTTGAAGAAATAAAAAAATGCCCTTTCATATTTCAAGCGCAATACATTTTATGGGCACTCTTTATGTGTTGTATGTGAACTGGTGTATTGTTTAAAAAGAATTGTAGTGGTTGTAATGATAGAAACTTTGATAGGAGTGCATGTATCTTCTGGTTTCCATTTTCCTTCTCATTTCATTACCATCAAAAAATGTCCTTTTTTACAGACACTTGTCTTTCCTATATCCTAGTATAATGACAAATATAAATGAAATTTTACTCTTCTGAAATTTAGAATTTACTTATTTCTGTCTTTTTAAATTGAATTTTGTTTTTGGTTGAGAGAGTGGCATCATCCAGTCTTTGCGAGTTAATTATTGATGAGAGCACGGCATCGTTACACTAATTTTGGGGTTTTTATTTCAGGTGTTCCTAATGCCCGTAAGGACTCGTATTTATACACAATATATATATGTACTATAGTTACTTACATAACAACACGAAGGCTTCAGCTCTCTTTGGTAACCTTGGTAACGCCTAATGTAACAGGGCTGTGCAATGACAATGCGTGCTTCACCAAAGTCTGTGACATTATATTTGTGGATTCTTAAAATGATTTTGAATTTGAAGAGCTGTTTCCTCCATTACACATATAACTGTAAAACCTGTCTAAACTGAACACATACCAATATTTTTGTCCAAATATGCACAGAATGTGCAGGTTTTTATCTCATAATTGCATATTTATTATAAATCTGGTTTATGCAGGTTTACAAATTGATTTGATATATGTAAGTACACTAAAAGTGTTTGTTTGTTCCATTTCTTTTATAAGGAAAGTTTCTTCTTAAAAGGCTCTTAGACTTGAACAAGAGAAATTTGAAAACCGTTACATAGATCACAGCTATACTACACATTGACTGGGTATAGGGAAGAGAAAGCGATAAAAGGCTAAATATTGTGGTGATAGAAAGTGAAGTAAACAGAAAAGAGGATGTGTTTATCAGGCACGTATGCTTATTAGGTTGAGTACTGTACAAGTTAAAACATCAAACCCAAATTCATGATCTTTGATTCCACAGGGTTCAGTTTAGACAGGTTAAACACTTTGATCATAGTTCTAGAATAGAATTGAGATTTGGAGTGAAGAGAAAAAACCCTTGAATAGATTAGAAACTCATAATAACATGGACGTCCCTTAAAAAGGATACCCTTAATTCCTATGTGCCTTTCTTTCCTTGATTCTTTGTGACCCCTTACTGGTAGATTAGTGGAATAGATCTTTCACCATTTGGAGGTATACTTCTCACAGATGTTTGTCAAAGTCATTTTAAAATTATAACTTACTGAATTGTGGAATTGATTCCAAATACATTGGAGAATAATTCCCCTTTTTTTTTTGTCTTTTCGACATGACCGTGGGTTGAAAACACTGGTAGAAGTTTAACATTGGTGTTTCATTGATTGTGATATCTGTAAAGTGTTCACATGATTTCTGTTTGTACCAACTGGTTGCCGTAGTAACATAATATACCCTCTATTTAAGGTTCCTGGTACATATGTATGGATAACTCGTACGCTCTTCACTAACACATTGCAGCTGTAGTGTATTCTTTTCTTGGACTTGTTGCAATTTTAGGAAACAATTTTAATGAATTTCTGTGTTGCATGACAAGATTATTGATTCCTTTTGAATTAAAATTAATTTGGATGCAAATTATGAGAGGATCCATTAGATGCAGTGTATCCTGATTTGTAGGTAAATATGTAGATCAATAAGAAGAGAATACAGCTACATTGAAATATATTCTTTAGTTGTGATAGTGCCATTCATAAACCTCATAATATGTATTGTTGAACTATATGTAAGATTTACAACCCTTCTGGATCTTGTGTTTTACTGGGTATTAGATACATAGAATATCAGTGATCTGACTATTTCTGATATCCAATATAATTAAGTAAAAAAAATTGTATAACATGAAATTTTTGTAGAATATTAATTGTTTTCATGGCTTTAGACAAACCACGAAAATAAAAAGCAATATATAAGACTGAATATTCAGTATCTATGATATTGTAGACATTCATGTGACATTATGGAAATTTGCACCCCTTTAAAAATGTGCCTACAAACTTTATATGGTGGAAGTATAGTATATATATATTGTTATAGTCATTTGTAATTTTTGTTATTCCCCCTTAACAAAGCTGATGTGTAAAACACAAGCTTATATCGTGAGAGGGGGAAAAAGGCAAGGGGTTGGGGATGGGGGGTGGGGGAGTTACATACTTGATGATTGGCATAGTTCTTTTGCAGCAGTATTAAACACAAAAACTAAAACAATCTAAAGTTAATTGATCTGTATCATAACTTTTACATCTGTGAATTGAATGGAGTTCATATCCAAAAAATACTGTGTTGATGAAGCTGTTTCACTACACAACCACCCTAGCAAGGAATAAAGGTAGCTTTTATCATGGGTCATCAATGAAGCTGTTTCACTACACAACCACCCTAGCAAGGAATAAAGGTAGCTTTTATCATGGGTCATCAATGGTTAAACCTACGTAAAAATGAGGAAGAAATCAGTAGACATGGGCTTATCAGTGGGTAAGCTTTTAATATGGTTGGGCTTAACAATCAGTAAGCACAAATTTATTAATGGTAGTCGGCAACACTAAACCCGGGAGATGATGGCATGAGATTATACTACAGAACAGCTCATTCATATTATCTTACATTAGCAGTAATATATAAGACAAAGTCTTGTATATTTTGTGTTCATTTATTTGATATGTTTGAATTTTTATCCTAGAAATATTGAGAATTTACCAATTTCAGTATAAAATATGTTAAATAATGACCGAGAAGGTAGTATCCAGTGAAAAGCTGCAGTGTCAGTATTGGAGGAAGTTGGTGAATATAAAAATATTTTATTAATTTTCCACCTTATTCTGTGAATCTTTTCTAGAGCAATGAGTCTGTATGATGCATTTAACAACAACCTGACTTTTGCAGTCATTTGGGGTTGAGGAAGTGGCTGCCTCCAAAAGAGCTAGAAGTGCAGAGTTGCTTGCTGCTGCTGAAAAGAAGCTTGAAGAGACTGACATGGGTAGGTCAATTTTAGATGCTGAGCTTCTATAGCCATCAACAGATTTCATAAGCTGAAACCTTGTTATTACTTCACACAAAAAAAAACACAACTACACACATCTAACTTTGAGAGAGGGATTAAGTGTGTTTTGAAATTTTTTCTTGTAATTGTTGCTGTAATTTTGCAAATTTTATTTGTGAGAATTATAAACCACTATGCACATATTACAACACCTTGTCTGTTTGAAAGAAAATGGTTTGCCTCCCTTCGTCCATCCAATCAAAGTTTCATATTCAAATGTGTGATAAAATCTTTATTCTATGACTTGACTAAAAGGGTCATGTGTATAACGACATTTTCACATCATTTTCTATATATTATATGGAATATAAAATATGAAAAGTAATCCACTTTATATAAGTAATTATATACAATACTTTATTCATCACATAATTATTATACCTCTTCTTCAAGTTCTAGAAGCTGCAACTGGCAGCTTTAGCTGCTAAAAACACTGTTAATGGTTCATTATCCCAGGATGCACACGTTGGTTTAATCACATTTTGAAAATGGTGATTTAAAAATCTTGTCAAAAAGCTCCAGAACTACTTCTTGTGAAAAATGTTTTGTGAATATTGTCCTAGTTTAACTATGATGGTTGAAACAGATGATTCACTCATGGCAGTCACATATCAGATAGACTCGGGGAAAGTTTGCAATACTGTTAATAGGCTGAAATTTAGGAAAACACAAAGAAGTAAATTGCTGCTAATCTGTGTATGATAATAGAGTCAGGGGACGGTTTGGTGTCAGGATGGAGGGCCATGAGTAGTTTATTTGAAGTTGTTTAAAAGGTGTGTTAGATTTCTAATTACACAAGAAGGAATCCTTGTAAGGCAAGAGTTTACTGGACTTTCTTATAGAACAAGAGGATAGTTATATGGGTGTGAAATCTGTAGATACTCAGTAGAAGATTTGTTTTGTGTTTAGACTTACAGGAAAGGCTCGAGGATGCAACCTTCAACACAGACAAGGTGGAAGACACAAACCAGGAGTCAAAAGACCAACTTGACAATGTCAACTTTCAACTGCCATCACTGGAAACCGGTAGGTAGACAGAATGTTTCTTCACGTCACACTTTATCATTCGGGTACATGTTGTATATGGCAAGTTTGCAAGGTATGACAAAATGAAAGATACACAAGAAATGGAGACTCATTTGAAAACTTCAAAATTTAAATCATTTTCAATTTTCTTTACCTTTACCTGTAATCCCAGTCTGAGTCACTTTTGGGAAAAAAATCAAATTTTTCAACGACAGAAGTATTTACTGTGAATAGTTTGCAAAATAAGGAACTTGTAAATATAAAGAAATGCAGTTGATTGTGATCATAACATGAACGACACTTGCGTTTGAACTAGGAAATGGGTCATATAATTTATGACTTGATACCTTGATAGGAAACGTTGGGCAGAGGGCTCAAGATGCCATAATGCAAGCAGAAGAAGCAAGTGGTATGACGAAGGATGCCGGTAACAAGGTCAATGACATCATTCGAAAGTTGCCGTCAAACAAAGCCAAGGTCGAGCAACTCATCAATGATTCCACAAAGACCAAGAAAAACACCCAATACGCTGATCAGCAGAGTAAGTGTCTTATTGATATCAGAATTTAAATTAAGAGGTCAGAGTTCAACAAAATCGGGAAAAAAGGAAGGTCTTTGTAAATCAGATTCAAATTTACAGTGAATCCTACTTTGTATTTAAACCTAAGTTTCTATACTACAGCTCAGGATGTGAAAGAGAAAGTGCCGCAGATCATGGACTTGATCAAGCTGGTTGGAACACAATCTAGGAATGTTCGTAGTCTTCGGGACAGTGTTATGGGCAACATCACTGATCTCCGTGAGAAGATTATACTAGCCCGTGATGAGGCAAACAGGGTGAGATAACTACCTTTGCATGTCCTCCAATATTCTGGAAGATTTAAACTCCTGACATAAGCACAATAATCTTGTAGAGACAATTCCTCTTGTAATACTAAACTGATTTTAGTATTATAATTACTGGTATCATGACCTTACTATGCTAACCTTGTTTTTTATTCATGATTACAGATCCGAGTTGGAATGGAGTTCCTAGGAAACACAACAGTTGCCCTTAGAAATCCACCAGATGTTGACTTGGCTGGGTCATACAGTCGCTTTACCACTTACATTCGTACCCAACAAAGTGATGCCCTGCTGGCTTACATCGGTGAAGAATTCATCCCTGAACGATCTGCTGAAGTGAGTAAATGATGATTGGCTTTAAACATTACACCAAACAACAAAATAATATTTCATGTTTTGTATGGTAGAATTTTTTAATTTGCATGTTCATTTTGAGTTTGGTTTCTTTCAATTTCATGTCTGCAGGACTTCTTGGCCTTGGAGCTTCGCGATGGCCGAGTAATGTTTAAGTATGACCTGGGGTCAGGACCAGCAGAAATCAGTCATCCATGGAGCGTCAACGACAACAAGTGGTATAAGGTTGTGGCAGAGCGGTGAGTCTGATGTTATTATAACTTTCTAGGCTACTGTATAAAGAATTGTGTGATACCTGACCTTTTAATATATGATGTATGTTAATCATTTTCCTGTATGCTGTTTCAGGATTGGTAAGACGGGTACACTGACAGTCGAGCGTGATGTAGGTGTTGGGGTGGAGAGCGTGAAGGCTAGTGGTAATTCCTCTGGGACCTTTACTGTATTAGAGCTGAAGCCTGTCACAACAAAGTTCTATCTTGGAGGTGTGCCTAGTACATTTATGGTAAGGGCAAAGTAAAACTATGGTAAATGCTCAGTAAGGGTGTCTGAGAAACATTGAGGGAGTAGGTGGGTGATAGGAGGTAAAACATACTTTTTCTGACTGAGAAACGGTGAGAGTGTGGTGAAGGTGTGTGTGTGTGAGGTAAAACATACTTTTTCTGGCTGAGAAACGGTGAGGGTGTGGTGAAGGTGTGTGTGTGTGTGAGGTAAAACATTCTTTTTCTGACTGAGAAACAGTGAGGGTGTGGTGAAGGTGTGTGTGTGGGAGGTAAAACATACTTTTTCTGGCTGAGAAACACTGAGTGTGTGGGTGTGTGGGAGGTAAAACATACTTTTTCTGACTGAGAAACAGTGAGAGTGTGGGTGTGTGGGAGGTAAAACATACTTTTTCTGGCTGAGAAACGGTGAGAGTGTGATGAAGGTGTGTGTGTGGGAGGTAAAACATACTTTTTCTGACTGAGAAACAGTGAGGGTGTGGTGAAGGTGTGTGTGTGGGAGGCAAAACATACTTTTTCTGACTGAGAAACAGTGAGAGTGTGGGTGTGTGGGAGGTAAACCATACTTTTTCTGGCTGAGAAACACTGAGTGTGTGGGTGTGTGGGAGGTAAAACATAATTTTTCTGACTGAGAAACAGTGAGGGTGTAGGGGGTGGGAGGGGGGGGGGCTTTTAACTCGACAATGGAATAGTTTTTTGTTGGTATGAGCAATATATGGCTGACTTATTACCAGACATAAGATTTTTGCTAGATTATTACAGTAGTCACTTTGCTGTTGAATGCAGCACATCCTCTTATGTGTAAATCTGGTGGTTAGTTTGTCCAGTACATCTAACACCAGATTATACAATCAATTTGAGTAGGTTTGAAATTTCTAATATAGCTGAATGTCTGATAATTGTATGCTTATGTTGCTGATATATGTCAACAGCTGCCTAGATCAGTGATGGGTTCAAACTACTATGAGGGCGCAATGGAGGGTGTGGCCTTTGACAGCCAGCCAATGGGAATCTGGAACTTTGTGTATGGTGATAATAATTACGTTGGTGCTGTAGAGAGGTAAGTTGATACCATTAACAGTCTGACATAATCTCTGTGCCTTGGTAAGAAGAGGACTTCCATAGATTTATGTTTAGATATATTGATTATTGGGAAAGATAAAAGATGCAAGTGGAATAAAATAGAGATACCTTAAACTGCAAACATATCAGAAGGACATGAGTACATTGAATACCGAAAAATAACTAAACAACTAAATTAACACATTTTTATAAGTAAGAATGAAGGATCTTCTTTCTGATATAAAATCAATTATTTCTCAAACATAAAAAGGATTGTTATTTCATCAGAATTTTCTAAACTTCCAGGAATGTACTGGTGGAAGAAAAGTCCAATGGCTTTAGTTTTAACGGTAATGGCTATGCCATTGTGAGTGCCAAGGAGATTAATTTCCGTCCCCAACAGAAGGCTACCATTATCCTGCATTTCAAGACTTATGCCAGTAATGGACTTCTCTTCTTTATTGGGAAGGGACGCGACTTCAGCTCCATCGAATTAAATGATGGCAAGGTATTGTTTCAGTATGATTTAGGAGGAATGCCAGCCAAATTGATGACAGAACAAACCTATAATGACGGAGCCTGGCATAAGATTCAAGCAGCCCGCGATAAACAAACTGGATTCCTTAGGGTCGATGAAGAAGGTCAGTACAGGTTTTCAGGGTGCTTCTGTTCAGATTAAAAAAATCTTTCTCATTGTTGTGACGACAATGTCCCTAACTTGCATTAAAGTTCAATATGTTCTATGTATCATTGAATACGAAAAATCAGTAAAAACAAATGCCCAATAAGTTGATATGTATGTATTCTATGCGTTTCAGATGGAATTGAGGGTCGCTCACCCGGAACACTGGCTTCTCTGTCATACACTGATGATATCTTCATTGGAGGGTTCAATGAGCTCGTCATGCCTGTAAAGTAAGTACTTGTAGATGGCTAAAACATGCCTTTTTCTTGTGGTTATTAGATTGTAAGGATATAGTATTTGACAGTTGTAAAATCTTTTTTGATGCCCTTGTCATTAAATTACAAGAGAATACAGTGTTGACCTTGGCCGTCATTTTGTACTCTAGAGTTATGGCCCCTTATGGAAACTTTTAAGAAACTTCTCACTTACTGATTTTCTTAGGAATTCATCCTTAGTCAACCACTACTTGATACCAAAAGAGTCTTTATCTTAAAAGTCATGAATTCACCTTTAAAAAAAACAATATCAGTGAAAATGCCCTGTTTGTCTCCAAAATTCCCAAGAGAGGAGAGCATTCTTGACACTCCAACTCATCTTATTCCCTTTTATCTTGTAAAAAATTCATCCATTCATTTTTAAAGACACAGGCTTTGAAACAAATTCAGTTTGGAATAGCTATACGGTACCTGATATATTGAACTAGTGTGAATCTTAGAATTAAAATTTCAGGCTCAAATTTTTTACATGAAATTTTATCAATTAACGTAATTTAAATACATTAAAATCACATATTTTTGTGGGGTTAAATTTTCACAGTTGTTGGAAAAAATTACAACTTCATGAATTCTTGATTTCATTGATAAATGTGGCTGAATAAGTCTTCTTATTTTAACAGTGCATGGAGATAAGAATACATGGATTAACAGCACTCACAAAAATGAAAACATATCCTTATACAATGTTCACTTAAGTACGAGTGTCAGTGAACACTACAGTGATATTGTTATGCTTGTTTGTACAGTTGCCCAATGCATAAAACACCTTTCGTGTGATCAATGCATCATTGATGAAATTCATGTGGTTATTTTTTTTCTCAGATATGTGAGTGCCCAGGGTTTCCGTGGCTGCATTAGGGATGTTCAGTTTGATAGTACAATCTGGGATCTTATCAACAACAAAGAGGCTAAAGGAGTTGTTCGTGGATGTCCCGAACAGGTAGGTGTAACATGGAGGTGTAGTGGGAAATTCTGTCCCCTAATCTCCACTCAAGGGTCTATCTGTCCCCTAAAACTCCTATATGGGACGATGATCTGTTCCTTAAAATCCTATGGTAGGTTAATTTTCCCCCTAAAATCCTGTTAGGTTTATCTCTCCCCTAAACTCCACTTGTGGCGTGATTTGCCCCCTTGACTCAACTGGTGGGACCAGCTGTCCGCTAAACTCTGAGGATGGGACTATATGTCACTATAAATCCTATGGTAAGTCTATCTGTCCCATAAACTTTACTTGTGGAAATATCTGTCCCTTAAACTCCATTGATGATTTGGTGGGGAAATCATTTAGAATGTTCTGAATTCTTTTTAACTGGACTTTAGTTTATAGGTCTCTGTGAGACTCTTTGTTCGATCCAGATATATATTCTCAGTGATTTTATTGTTTCTTTTCATCACCATCTACATTTGTAATAACATCTTGTTTACAGATGCTGCGAACAGCAACATTTGGAGGGGTGCCAGGTTACATTGCCATACCGATGGACAGTGTTGGCGTCAACTTTGATGTTACTTTCAGGATGAAGACCACTTCTAACTCCAGTCTGCTTATGTATACCTCAAACAATGCACAGGTACAAATTCTGTCGGATATTAACACTGGCTTCATACAAAACATACAATGATATATGTGTATGTACCTGAATATCCTTTGGGTTTTTTTTTTTAATATTTGTCTGTTGTTTTACTGTCTTAGCTTCATCAAAGCAGTTACACATGTAAGTTGCAAAAGCACACCCCATAATATACTGCAAAAGTTGTGTTTATGGATTTTTATTTTAGACATTTCTTGCCAGGGATAAAAAAAGACTTGCAAATGAAGTGAAGAAATCAGTATAGCTGTGTATTTTATGGCATTAGTGAAACATTAATCCCTGATGCCTCAAGCGTTCGGTAAAACTGCAAAATCAAATATAATCCATGTTACAGAACAGGGCCAGGTGTTCAGGTCTGATAATTTTTACAATTATTACAGAGCACTGTATTTTCTGTGTCAACATCTATGGGTAAGATCATTGTAACGACGGACCCTGGAGGTGATCTGACACGTTTGGAGAGTGTGGTGAATACCTACAATGATGGCAACTGGCATTATATCTCCATCATGAAGATGGGCAGAATGTGAGATCATTTTTCCTCTTTTTATATTGTTAACTTTTCAGTAGAACTATTTTATTGTTAACTATTATTGTCAGCAAGATACAAGATCTTTATCATTAAATGTATTGATCTCACCTTGTTTTCTGAAACAATTCTCAATTATCTGAAAAATTAGCAGATTTAGAGTTTTTCTTTCACTTTTTTTTTTTTTTTAAAAATTTCCTTGTTTGTATTTAGGCTCATGTTGAACATTGATGATCAGGAGATGATCGAAAACCCTACACATTCCGTAGAGGAAGAACTTATCACACAGAGACCTGTTTACTTTGGGGGCACTGACTTCTCCGTACCAGATACCTCTGTTGGTGCCACTGCTCCCTTCTTCGGCTGTATATCTGATATAACCATTAACGGAAAGTATGTTTACCAACAAGCCTTGTTTTACGTTGTTGAGCCAATTATTGAGTTCTCGTTTTGAAATCTGAATTTTTGTTGGATGTTCCAACAGATCAATAGCATACAGTAAACAATTCCTCTTAAATTCTGATCTGATATTTTTTTCATTTCAGTTTTAAAAACTTTGCCAGTATACAGAGTCAGAATATAAGAGCTGTTTCCCTAGGGGACTGTTCTGAATCACAACCTACTGGACCAGTGGTGCCACCTGTTGTCAAACCTTCACCAACACCAGGTATAGTGATATTCTCTTTTCTGTTACAGAAAAACATTTACAGGTAATGCAAAACCTGACACAAAATCTTGATGAATTTAGGAGTACAACCGCATCATTCAAAAGCAGTGATCGTTACCTGAAGGTCAAAGATCAAAGAAGTCTTTTTACTGTTTAATCATTAGATTATGAAGCAGAAATGATAAAAAAATTGAAATGAATAAGTGCACCACAAATGTTAAGGTCAGATTAGATTTTTAATCACTTATTAATTCCCTGCAGGTGAAACCGGAGGGGACTGTAGGGTTTGTTTTCGTCATCTGTTTGTCTGTTTGGACCGGATGGTTTCCAGATGATGACTTTAGTTAGGGATGACCAGTTAAGTTGAAACTTGATACCATGTTAGTTTAGTAGTAGTGTGGCATTGTGTTTGTGGTCAAAAGGTCAGCTACAAAGGTCAGTGTTGCTAATAATAGATTTTTGGTTATCAGATTGTAAATTAAGTAATGGATGACCAATTAGGTTGAAACTTAATACCATGTTAGTTTAGTAGGAGACCTAGTGTGGTCATGGGTCAGTGATAGTACTCGCTTTTCACCTAGCCATCCAGCTGAAACCTTGTTTCACCATCGTTGTTAAATATTAAATATCATTTATTTATTAATTTTATTTGCTATTGCTAAAAATAGATTTTTAGCCCACTATCATCAGTTGGTGATTTAAAAAGCTGTAAGTCCGTTGCTCGTCTGTCCGTAAACAATTTTTGTTGTTGCTATTTCTTGAGAAGCATTGGATGAATCTTTCTCAAACTGCATATGTTGGTTGCCCTTGGTCCCTAGTTATGCCTGTTTGATTTTGGGACTTATCAAAATGGCCTGAATCCAGCAATCTTGGATTTTTCCTAGTAAAGATTGTTACTGCTGTTTCTTAAGAAGTACTGAATGGATATCTCTCAAATTTCATATGTATATTTCCTTTGTGCTCATTTGACTTTTGGACTGATCAGAAGAAACAAAATGGTTTCATGGGGGCCATTTTGGATTTGGCAGGTAAAGATTATCATTGCTATTTCTGCAAAGGAATGTTCAAATGTCTTATCATTAAGAGCAAAAACAGAAAAAAAGAAAAGAAGAGAAAAGATACTACTTTCAAAGAGCAGATAAAGAGCAAACAAAAGTGGGCACCAAGATTCCTCTGGGATCTCTTGTTGGTTTTCAGATAACTTTAGTTAGACCAATTAGATTGAAACAATGAAAACCACTTGATACAATGTTAGTTTAGTAGGAGACCTAGTGTAGAAACATGTTTGGGGTCAAGAGGTCGACTACAATGGTAACGGTTGCGAAGAATATTTTTTGAGTTTTCAGATAATAATTATAGTTCGGGATGATCGATTAGGTTGAAACTTGATACGGTCTTAGTTGAGTAGGAGACCTAGTATGGTATTATGTTTTTGGTCAAAAGGTCAACAACAATGGTCACTAATGCTTAGCATTGATTTTTGGTTTCCAGATGATAACTTGCTTCAAAAAATGCTAATTATGGCATGGCAGGGGATTTGTGTTGCTGGCTTGTAATCTTATTGAATTGTTATGTTATGTTTCTTAGAAATTTCTTAGAGGGAATAAATTTTTAGTGTATCTTTTTAGTGAAATACATTTTTTCGGGGATTAATTGTAGGTCCAGTTGATAGAACCACTCCACCACAAGTCCAACAGTGTGCTTTGTCACCTAATGTGGACATCTCGCCTCCACTGGGAGATGCAGATGGAAAACTGTTTGGCACATACGCAGAGAGTCGTGAGGAATATGCTGTGGTACCAGCCAGTATGACTGTCAGGTATGATAGCATCTATAACAAACATAAAGGACACTTGAGGAGTTGCAGATAATTGATATCACCCAATATGATTTCAGGTATTTGACTTGAGGTAGTATATATTACCTGCAGAATATGAATTGACAGTAATACTGTCTTTGCCGTCCAAAAATTATGTGGGTTTATAGTCACCACCTTGTTTAATTTTGCATCACCAGCTTAATCATTGAGATGCAATGCTGATGTTATTTTTTATCAGGAAATGCACAAATATCTTAAATCACAATTCCTAGGAATTTATTGTACAAAACTTTGTATTTTTACAGATTCAAATTAAGCATAGCATTCCGAACAACATCCACAACTGGGGTATTATTTTACGCCTCAGATACACGACATCGAGACTTTGTCGGAGTGTATATGCTAAATGGCAAAATAGGAGCGGCTTTTAATTGTGGAACTGGAATAGGAAAAATACTGACAGCCCAGGATTACAATGATGGCCAGTGGCATACAGTGAGTTTCCTTGCAAAATCAAGACTTTTTTTCCTGAAAGAAATTAAAATTTCTCTGAAGTCATTGTTTTCATAATTTTATTTCATTATTCATTTTTATAAAAATTACAACAAGGAATTATCAATTATATCTATAAATTACAGATGGTATTTACAAGAGATTTAAAACGTGGTGAGTTGGATATTGACGGGGAGCCAAGTGGAGAGACCACATCTATTGGATTTACTCGTTCACTGAATGAGAAGCCACCATATTACCTAGGAGGTCTGCCAATGGATATCGGCAAAAAAGCATCTAAAAATCTTGAGGTATTTTACTTGAATTTCAAATTTGTTCATCTTAATTCTTGATAGCCTATATATTGAAATTTTCAATGGACTTGAGATAAGAAAATGAAAGATGACAAATATGGTTGATTATTAACTCTGAAAAAAAAACATGGAAGGAAAATGTTGAAATGAGTTTTTTTTATTTCATTTTTTAAAAGAGACAACCATTAAAAAACAAAAACAAAAAGGTGTTTTACAGAGATAATCCACATTGTGTAAAAAGCACTTTGTTTTTCTCATGTTAATTATAAGCTAGTGTAACTTGTTTATAATGTTGCTCAGGGTGCCATCACAAGTTTCCAGGGCTGTGTTGGGGACTTGACAGTGAATGATAAGAGCTTTGGAACTCCTCAGCTCGAGTTCCAGGTACAGCCTTGTACCACTAGTGTGGAACAGGGCTCCTTCTTCTACTCGGATGGAGGCTATGTTCAGCTACGTAAGTAACCAGCTACCACTTGGTAAATGAGTTCTCCCTTGGAGGTATTGATAGGGGATATATGATAAGGTCCCCACATTAAGCCAGGTAGCAGGGCCCTTGCTGACCTGTTTAGTGTGCTAGTTGATTCAGTTATTTTGGTTTTTTAAAGCTTTATTTCAAAGTTAAATGACATATTGATCCATTTTTGAATAAATTTCTATAAGCAAAATTGAAGACAACAAAAGGTTGAATTGAAAAATTTAACAGACATGCTTCTCCTTATATGAATTATTATCAATCGACAATTCTCTTTTGTTTTCCTTATTTGAGGTTAAGTTCTTGGATTCTGTTCCATCTTAAGATGTGTTACACTTGATTTTCTTGTTAATTCCAGCACCAGAGAAATTTGTTGTTGGCTTGGACTTGGAGTTCTCTGTGGAAATCCGTCCTCGTAACTTGACAGGTGTAATTTTAGCTGTGCACTCATCTGGAAGTGACTTCATGGCACTACAGATGAAGGATGGAGAGGCAAGTTATAGTTATATCATAATTGTCTAGGTGTTGTAGAGTATTCTCGGGAGCAACAAGTCTTTGAGATTTGTAGAATCAATTTTTCTTTTTCCAAACTAACATGATGTTAGTGATTGACTTGTTGAAACAAGAATTTTTCAAATAATTGTGGGTGGCAGACTTTCAATACACTAAGAGTTTCATGAAAAGGACAGGTTTAGAGTTCTCGTACATCTTTGAAAGGTTCAAGTCATGGTTGCCTCAATTTAATTTACAAATGTTTCTTATTCATGAATGGTTAACAAATGGAATAGAAATAGTAAAATTTTGTGACCAATTGAATGAAGAAAATGTACAGGGCTGAAGAGGGTGACAGAAATCTGTTTTACTGCCCTCTCACAAAAGTAATTTGATTAACAGGTTGTTGTGGAGAAGTAAAATCATTCTCTAGTGCATGCACTTGAATAGAAAAAAAAAACTTATTAGATGTCTTATCAATGTTTGAGGACTAACTGGTCCGCATTTTTTTGTTTTAATCAACAGATAATATTCAGTGCAGACAATGGCGGCGGAATCATTACCACCAAGTACACACCCCCCACCAACAATCTCCTATGTAATGGTGACTGGCACAAGATCAATGGTATGACTACAAATACTTAACTTGTCTGCCAAACATTGTGTAGAAATTTACCCTATATATCTCGTGATGATTTCAGCCTGATAATAACACCTTTCATATCATATGTTACCTGTACCGATGCTTTTTCTCTTTGTCCTGTAGTAAGTTCACTCCCTGACAATGAGCCAAAACTTAGTTTTAACGTTCTTTTTTTATTGTAGCTGTTAAAGCAAAGAGTACATTGCTGATGACCGTGGATGGTCAAAGAATACAACCAGTCAGCGGAAAGGCAGGCATTTCATCAGCTGACACTACAGAACCTCTCTATGTGGGAGGTGTACCCAGTAAGTGTTACACTGCTACTGTGGAATAGCATCTAAATCCTGGATGGCTTTACAAATTTTTAATTTAAACATGTCCAAGTCAAAGAGAATTTTGAATCTTTATATCCTCTTTTTTGTCTGGTGATCTATAAATATACTGTTCCTTTGTGTTCTTTTGTTGTGACTTACTGTGATTAGTGACTTAGACGTACTGTGATTAGTGACTTAGACGTACTGTGATTAGTGACTTAGACGTACTGTGATTAGTGACTTAGACGTACTGTGATTAGTGACTTAGACGTACTGTGATTAGTGACTTAGACGTACTGTGATTAGTGACTTAGACGTACTGTGATAAGTGACTTAGACGTACTGTGATTAGCGACTTAGACGTACTGTGATTAGCGACTTAGACGTACTGTGATTAGCGACTTAGTAGTACTGTGATTAGCGACTTAGACGTACTGTGATAAGTGACTTAGACGTACTGTGATTAGTGACTTAGACGTACTGTGATTAGCGACTTAGACGTACTGTGATTAGCGACTTAGATGTACTGTGATTAGCGACTTAGACGTACTGTGATTAGTGACTTAGACGTACTGTGATTAGTGACTAAGACGCACTGTGATTAGCGACTGTGATTAGTGACTTAGACGTACTGTGATTAGTGATTTAGACGTACTGTGATTAGTGACTTAGATGTACTGTGATTAGCGACTGTGATTAGTGACTAAGACGTACTGTGATTAGCGACTGTGATTAGTGACTTAGACGTACTGTGATTAGTGACTTTGACGTACTGTGATTAGGTACTGTGATTAGTGACTTAGACGTACTGTGATTAGTGACTTAGACGTACTGTGATTAGTGACTTAGTAGTACTGTGATTAGCGACTGTGATTAGTGACTTAGACGTACTGTGATTAGTGACTTAGTAGTACTGTGATTAGCGACTTAGACGTACTGTGATTAGTGACTTAGACGTACTGTGATTAGCGACTGTGATTAGTGACTTAGACGTACTGTGATTAGTGACTTAGATGTACTGTGATTAGCGACTGTGATTAGTGACTAAGACGTACTGTGATTAGCGACTGTGATTAGTGACTTAGACGTACTGTGATTAGTGACTTAGACGTACTGTGATTAGCGACTTAGACGTACTGTGATTAGCGACTTAGACATACTGTGATTAGTGACTTAGTAGTACTGTGATTAGCGACTGTGATTAGTGACTTAGACGTACTGTGATTAGTGACTTAGTAGTACTGTGATTAGCGACTTAGACGTACTGTGATTAGTGACTTAGACGTACTGTGATTAGCGACTGTGATTAGTGACTTAGACGTACTGTGATTAGTGACTTAGACGTACTGTGATTAGCGACTGTGATTAGTGACTTAGACGTACTGTGATTAGTGACTTAGACATACTGTGATTAGTGACTAAGACATACTGTGATTAGCGACTGTGATTAGCCACTTAGACATACTGTGATTAGTGACTTAGACGTACTGTGATTAGCGACTGTGATTAGTGACTTAGACGTACTGTGATTAGTGACTTAGACGTACTGTGATTAGTGACTAAGACGTACTGTGATTAGCGACTGTGATTAGCGACTTAGACATACTGTGATTAGTGACTTAGACGTACTGTGATTAGCGACTGTGATTAGTGACTTAGACGTACTGTGATTAGTGACTTAGACGTACTGTGATTAGTGACTAAGACGTACTGTGATTAGCGACTGTGATTAGTGACTTAGACGTACTGTGATTAGCGACTTAGACGTACTGTGATTAGCGACTTAGACGTACTGTGATTAGCGACTTAGACGTACTGTGATTAGCGACTTAGACGTACTGTGATTAGCGACTTAGACGTACTGTGATTAGTGACTTAGACGTACTGTGATTAGTGACTGTGATTAGTGACTTAGACGTACTGTGATTAGCGACTTAGACGTACTGTGATTAGTGACTTAGACGTACTGTGATTAGCGACTTAGACGTACTGTGATTAGCGACTTAGACGTACTGTGATAAGTGACTTAGTAGTACTGTGATTAGTGACTTAGACGTACTGTGATTAGCGACTTAGACGTACTGTGATAAGTGACTTAGACGTACTGTGATAAGTGACTTAGTAGTACTGTGATTAGCGACTTAGACGTACTGTGATTAGTGACTTAGACGTACTGTGATAAGTGACTTAGACGTACTGTGATAAGTGACTTAGTAGTACTGTGATTAGCGACTTAGACGTACTGTGATAAGTGACTTAGACGTACTGTGATAAGTGACTTAGTAGTACTGTGTTAGACGTACTGTGATTAGTGACTTAGACGTACTGTGATTAGTGACTTAGACGTACTGTGATAAGTGACCTAGATTTACACAATTGAAGGATTGGTTCTCAAAGAGTATGCTTAGAATATTTAATGCTTAATGATGGTTCAAATCTGGAGAAAGTGGCAATTCATGGAAAAAAAAATCTTCAAATTGATAAACAAGCTTTAAAAAGACAAGTTTTGAAACATTTCAACTCTGAAAAGTATCAATATATTGTGTCCTGATGTCCCATATTAACTTACATTTTCCATTTGCAGATTTGGGACGACGTGGACTGGTTGCCAATGGAAACTACCTCGGCTGTATACGTAACTTAGCTATTGGAGTGGAGCGTACCCCACAGTATATCACTGCTGGAACTGTATTTGGCTCAGTCAAGACGGACACTTGTCCCACAAATTAAAAATAAATCTGAATTTGATCGAATTTTTTTAAGGCTTGTTGCCATGGTAACCTTTAGAGTGAAATAGAGTATTTATGGCTTTTTGAAATTATTTTTCAAAATTTATATGCTTCAATTATAAAACATTTACTGTTATATAGCACATGAAATATGCTAGTTGAAGTTGTAGAATCTGGAGAAGGAAACATGAAAATGTTAAATCAAGTTATTTAAACAATACTATGTTGATTAGATTTCTATTCTGCCATCCACTTTAAGATACCCAAATTCTACTGGTTTAATCAGACTATTTTGTTTTTTCATACATATTCAAAATAATGGTGTGTGCATATTCTTTTGGTAAGCAGTATAAAAATTGAATGTATTATTTAAAATCACATTATTCATAAAAAATAAAAGTATGTTTATTTACTTAGAAATTATTTTTCATTTTTCAAAAATGTAGGATGATATGTTTCTCTGACAGGGTAACTAGAAGTTGAGGTTATGGCTTATAGATTATTTTCAGCGTTTGATTTTTATGTATGGAAAGTATATAAAGATAACTCTTTACAGAAATAAGTGGTTAAGTATTAATGTTTTAGTGTAAATGGATGGCAGTATATATAGAACATGATGTGTGCAATATGTTGGATCTGAAGAATGATAGTAATTGTATGTGATTATGTTACAACCTGTAGAATACTCTAGTGTCTTTAACTCAACTGACAATATATCAAGACCTGCATAAATCAGGGAGAAAAAACTACAATCATCTGATATTTCTTTAATTTTGTTTAGTATTGAAAAGTTGCAAATTCAATGTTTAGATTTAATGGACTCAAAATAATGTTCAACCATAACCTAGAACATCATCTAAATACATACAAATGTGATAACTAGGTAATATAATTGACTGTAAAATCTCTTTCCCTGATGACCCTTTCATGCACCCTGTTATTCTTTATTTTGAAGGCCGTGACCAGATATTATTTGACAAGAAGTTGGTGACTCTGATTTCAGTGTCATTAGGCTTGTAATAGTCTTTTTATTGAATAATGTGTTTAAAGGTTACCATGACAACTCTCCCGCTGCAATTTAAATGAAAATTGTGTCCTTTTTCCTCACAGAATATTTCCTTCTTATTTTGAAAACAGTTTCAGTCTCAACGGTTTTGTTGATGCATTATACATTTTTAAATTTCATTAAGGAATTATGTTTTCGTTTTTAATGATTTGTCATCTTTCATATCTAAATAGGAATTATCCTGTGTGGATGGGCACATTTTCTCAAAGTTAAATCTGAGAAATCTGATATGTAAAAGGTGAAGACCCTTATCTCCCCTGGCCACAGTAGCTCAATAATACTGAAGTAAATCCTGCAGAAATTGTCCCTGGATAAATGTCAAGATTTGTTTTTACAATTGATATTGTTTTTACCTATAAGTCCTGTCTTTCATTTTTATAAATAATGTTTTTAAAGAAATTTTATGTCTTGTTATCAATCAAATGATAGTAGATGAACATCTGCAAATTTTATTATAATTTAGAGTTAATTGTAGAATTTCGTAGATTTTAGAAAATACTTTACCTCATCTCAGTATTTTGTTAATTACCTGGAGGTTTGTAATTTTAAATTTTGTGATTTCCTTTATGTTCATCAGGGTACATGTATGTTTTTTATCTTATTAAAGAATCTCGGTTTTAAAATTTATGAATTTTGATGGAGTTGTTTATACATGCCATATTTAGAAATTGAAGTTGGTCTGAAATCCTATTATGATCATTTAAATTTGTCAAAGATTTTCATCTGTCAAGATCTGAATCAAAATCGATCTCTTGTTTTGTAACAAATTTGAATTGTCTTCCCTTCACCATGTCATTTTTTAATGATCACAATTTGTCAACAAATTGAGATACATGCATATCATTGATAAAAGCATAAGTAATAATGTAATTAAATCTGATTTATATTTACGTTCTTAAATTTTACTTTCATAAAATTAGATAAAACTTTTCAAAGAACAAAAACATGAAATTATGGGAATCAAAGAATCAAAATTGAAGAAAAAAATTCGAAACATCATTTTAATATTTGTCAAAGAGATGATTTCTTTCTCTATGCATGTTTCTTAATTTTTTGATATAAGTAATTTTGGCAACTGTCCGTCTGTTTTTGTACATTTAGTTACCTGCACATAAATTGTTTCGGGTATTTTTCAAGAATTATTTTGTGGACTCGTGATGGAAATTTTTTTCAGAGGGTTTTTTTTGTTTGTTTGATGGTTAGAAATTTTCTTATTATCATTATTATTATTGCTATGTTTATGTGTATTACTTTAAATTTCAGTATCATGGATTTGGCATTTTTGAAGAAATTTTGATGAAAAACTACACCAAATTAACTAAATGTACTGAAATAAAAAGGAGTTAATGAAATATGTGTTTTATCATTATTTCTTTCAGTTGCACTGTTTATCTTCCAAACTTTGCCAGACATTCTTGAAAAGTGGCCAAAGTAATTTTGTCCATTGAAAAAACATTAAGTAGTTCAGAAGTCAAAACTCACTAATTCCGAGGAAATGGGGTCGAGAGGGATATTTGAAATAAAATTTTGATAAATTGATTTTAAATTTTGGGTAAAGTAGAAAATGACTGAATTTAATCCTGGTTAATCATGTTTCAAATATCAGTATATGTAAGCATTTCTTTTAAACAGTTACATGATACATAGAATTCAGTTGATGCTGGTTTTCCTTTAAAACAAATATTTCCTGAAATTTTAATTTAGAGCATCTTAATTAGTTTAATGTACATATCTGGTATTCACCAAGTAGAGGCAGATTTTTGACACAATCAAAAACATCTGTCTTTGAAATTATGAGGGCAGTAAGGCAGCTGTGTTCCATATAGCACAACTAGAAAATAGTGTTTATGGATGATGGAGTCCACTTAACGGCCATCCTAAAATTATTTTTTGCTGAAATCTTTCCTTCATTTTACTGAAAATGGATCAGCCAGCGCCTATTTGAAGCTTAACTTCAACCAACAATTTCAAGGACTTTGGTTTGTCTTGGTAAAAATATTGAATTCCAAACCTTAATCGCATAGGTAAACATTTGACAACCAAGGCCAACCTTAGGTATTGCAAAGTGTTCCACTACTAGTAGTCCAAAATAAGAAAGAATATATGTCAATTACCTATCATGTTCCAAGTAAATGGCACAAACTAAAACGGCTAAGATTCCACTACATATTTATATAAAAATTTAAAGTATGGAAGGAAAGTCAAAGGTACAACCATTTCATTCACTTCGACCAAAACATGCATTACAATCTGAAAGCTAAAAACTTGAATGGTGGAAGCATGCTTAAAAGGGCCAAGGCCCATAAGTATTCAACACTGGAAACACAACAAAAACTACACCACCCTGTAGGTATAGAAATGTACATTTATATACATAATATTTTATTAAAGTGAATTTCAGTTTTAACAATATTGGTGCATACAGGTTTCAACACATGCTATTTTTCTTTTTATGATTTTTTTGTTTACTTCAGAGTTTCATCATTTTCTGGCATAAATTGACAATATTTTCTTTATTCCTCTACACAGAGTTGCTGCCATGCAAGTCTTTGAGCTCTTTGTTATCATGCTATACAACAAATCACAATTCTATTCTTCATGTTATGATAGTGTTTTCTTTCTGCAGTTGCTTGCCCCTTGTTTCCCTGTTTATGAAGTCTGGATTTACTACACACTTTCTGGTATTGGATTGGATGATTTGATAACTTCTTTTTTGTAGTGAGTATTAGCATAAACGCCACTCTCATCCTGCCATGTATTGCGACCGGGACGCCGGTAATCAGCAGTGTCTGTGAACTGGGAGTGGCACTTCCGATATGCTGCAGACAAATCTGGAAAGTCTGGTGGCATCTCCTGAAAAAGAAAGTCCAAGCATGTATACTGATTTTTACATTTTAAAAGATAGCTCTCTTTAGATACAGTACTTTTGCCCAGTAATAAAAAGCATTGACTGGAGAAATGGGAAGGAGTTTTGTTGTGATTTTATCAGTAGAAGATATGTCAGGCAAATTTTATCATTCTTTTCAGGCTGATTAATATTTTGTAACTGAAATCGAAATTTATACCAAGAAAAACCATAAATATGTTGATTCACATGTTCCACATGAGAACAGTTCAGGCACATCGGCAGTTCATTCAGTCAATATTTCTCGCTATCCAACTGTCCAGATTTTGTTTTTAAATTTTGTAATTTTGTTACACTACACTTTAATGCTCAATATTGACATGATCCAGTCAATTTTCAACAAATTCTGTTTTGCATTACAAGAGTTATGCCCCTTCTTTTGCATCTACATTCATTTTTTTATCTATTTTACTTTCGGACAAAGTCTTGATTTAGCTTTTCCATACTAATACTTGTTGGTCAATAAAATTAGTTCCTGAAATGTTACATTTAAAGTGTGGACGAATGTTGGTTACGTGTACATAGAAGTCAGTCCGTGTCCCATTCTAAAAATACAACTTGGATGTAAATATTGACATGCACTTAGAGGGCCATAGCTGACCATGTGTGTTATAGTTTCCAGGTACAGTGTTTAACTCCCACCTTAAAAATCATTAGATTGGGAAATGGGGTTGGGCTTAATACTAAGCAGTACTGATCAACAGTGGCTAAAAAATCTTATTTTTGATATTTTTGGTCATAAGTCTATTGAACTTACCGGGACTGTTTTGTAGTCTGGATTGGGAAGTTTGTAGTCGGCTCTGTGAGTTGTTTCTAGATGATGTTTGTTGTAGTCAGGATTATGACGGGGCAGCACTGAACCATAGCCTCTCTTTGGGAAGCCAACATCCCTGTTGACCAAAATAATACAAATTTAATGTATTGTACATGACATGAAAGCTGACATGTGATATATGAGGCAGGTATGGATAGAACCAACTAGATCAACTATGATGCTACATTGAATTTAGTATATACATATGGTATACATTACTGGAATTGTAAACTTTGGTAGACATAATGAAAAAGATATGTCAAAAGTATATTGGTACAATTTCTAAGAAGTTAAAAATCTATTCAATTGGAAATTATATAGAAAGCATCACTCATCATAAATTTTTAAAATCTTATCAGAATGACAAGGCCATTTGGTTACTACAATAGACATGATCTTGAAAATGTTATTGTGACTGAACATTAACCTTGAATCCAGGTTTATTTTGATGTGGTAAGGCAGATATGAGTGATTGTTTCAGTACATTTGATGTTGAAAGTATTTTGTCTCTAACTGTTGCTTAGCTTCAATAATTATTTAACAAACAGGAATGGAGGACTTGAACAGTAATGTAATATAAGACTTCTTTCTATGTCATTTTCTGAAAATTTATCTGCATGAAATCAAAAATATATGCTGACAGCCATATTGAATTCTGAGTCTAACTTATTGAGTGTAGAACTGAAATTCCAATATTTGCAGGACCTTTATTTTAAAGAAATATTTAAAGGGTTGTTTCGTGCAACCATTTTTGTGGCACTTCGAGTAAAGAATCTCAAACAGATTGATAATCTGACTCTTTGTACTTGAATATTAAAGTGATCACTTTCATAATACAATTGCTGTAAACATAAAATATTCAATGGTAATCTCATTTTAGTGATTTTAACACCCCACAGGACACCTTAAGTGTTAGTATCAACATGGTGCTTACCTGTCGAGATCGGCATGGCCAACAGTGTCAAGTGTTACCATGGACTTCCTCACTTGCTGTTCTTTGAAGTCGTCCTTGAGGTATGTTTGCTCCGCATGATCCTGATATGTTGTTTTTGGTAATGTCTGAAATAAAAATGTAGCTCATAAATATTTATTCTGAAGTGCAACCCAACTCCTGTAACCTGAGGCCCAATATCAGGGCTGTTGGGTAAGATATGATGTTCAACTTTCACAAAAATTCTCCAATCAGACATGAAAAGTTACGATAATAGAAAATTTCTACTTACACCATCTGTTACATCTCCTATCTTATCATATGTTGCTTTACAAAGATTTCTTTCATCATTCCTGCTGATGTCATAGTTCTTGGGTTCTGCTTCCCTTGCTTGATGCCTGCAAATTAGGGAAATTAATCAGAGTTGCCGATTAACCAATGTTATCTATTTATTCTACAGATTTAGCTGCTTTGAGAATATTTGTTAATACTTAAATGTACACGCTCAAGGGATCAAATATTTGAGTCCTTGACTCATGTTTTGCCTCTTGAGTTCACTCAAACACTGCGGACCCATTGTTTCTTTGTAACTGGGCTCATCAAAATTTTGGAAATGGTGCTCTGGACTCACCAGAAAAATTATTACAAAAAACCACTGTAGAGTTAAAACAACACCTAACTAAACCAAGGACTTACAACACATCCCAGCACCTTTAGGCTGAAAGCGAAGATCAAAAGAGAAATAGGAAATGATTTTTAAAAACTGATTTTACATAAGAAATACTTCTGACCGTGAAGAAAACAGCATTAAATAACTTTACTGACATTCACTTTTGCTAGAACACCATTTACATGTATGACCTGGTGCTGACACTATTCTGATTGGAATCCGATCTCTTGTTTTTGTGTTATGTGGTACAAGATGAGAAATCAGATTTTAATTATGTTGGTATTGAAGTGTCAGAGACAAGGGAAGCTTGTGCTACATAAAACCATCATAGACATTTTAAACATTAACGAAAAGTCTAACCAAAATATGAATGATGTACAGAGAGACAGGACCACTGCTATTATGTCTTTGTCATTGATCGCAGGCATAAGAGTATATATATTACTGGAAACAGAGAGCATCACTTAAGCTCGATTGGTTGAGCACAAGACCAGTACGGAGTGTTGGGTTCCATCCCTAGCTCAAGTATAGTACAGACTACATGAAGTACCGGTACTACTCCATACAATGTACAACGTATAAATATCAAATCCGGCCTCCTCTGTCCCGCAATATAACAAAATCGTATCAATGTCAGTAGTTGTCTGCACGTACTTATACATTTATGATATACAATTTGTACATCATTGCAGCTATCATACTATAGTACATCTTCATTTAGGCGTTATATCTAAAACACGAACCCTGATTGGTACAGTCCACTTCTCTGCTGATAGTCAACATCGTGATCTAATCAGTTATTTAGAAAGCTATCTTAAGTGTACTGACACACTGTAGGAAACGCACCAAAACAAACGTTTGAAGGAAATCAAAACTCCATAAAGGCACGGTAACCGACTAGTTAACAAAATATTTCGAGTGTTTATCACTGTAGAAAGTAAACAATCGTATTACCACAAGCAACATTCCAGAAAAGGCACCTACCAGTTCGAATTTAAGGTAGCTCTGCCATAGTTCATATGATCAGAACGTAAGAAGAGGGACCCCTTCCGCTCATGAAAATCTGGAACAGACATGATTATTTACATTGACAGCGGAAGTAACCAAATCACACTCAAGTTAACAGCCCTCCGCGTAAAGAATTAAACCCACAAGTTGCAATTAAACAGGATGTGATAGTGAATGATAATAACATGTGTGTAAAACTCTTTTCTTCGTGCACAAATTATTTTCTACTTAAGGAAAAAATATTGAAACGTATAAATTTGTGATAAATAGAATTAACGGTTACTTTTGCGTATCATTACGCTGATTTCTCATAGCAACTAATACACGTAGACATGCACAAGTCCCCAGTAGCAGGTGTATTGATTCTAAACTATCGAAAGTCATGTTGCTCTGGATGGACTTTGGTGGCCTTCAAAATATTCGTATTTCGAAAAGAAAAAGTTTCGCATCGGACACTGTTAAACGGTAGATGACGAATTTGATTAAAATGCAGCTCAAATGAAACCAAGAAGGGTTTATGAAACACTATGCCCTCGGCCTGAGTTGCAAATTGTAACAAAATTCTGATCCCCAGGAGGGACATTAAAATTGTGTGAGGCTTGTGCTAATTTTTCAAATGTAGGTCAAAGGTCACAGTCAATGTCATAATGGCAAAACATTTATTACCACCAGAAAGGTCTTGTCACAAGGAACACTCATGCAAAATATGAAAGCAAAGCCTGCAATGGTGATGAGAAAGGCACGTTAGAGTGGACAACAGGCAAACACTACTGACAAACAGACACACAAAAATATGGCCCATATCTCTCGATCAATGGCAAAAATGTTAGTCAAATCACGGACTTAAATACATTTTTATGTCTAACCAAGTTATATTATTATGTAACAGGAGCAGAAAAAAGCGCGGCCAGACCGGGGTTCGAACCAGGGACAATTTTTTAGATTTTACTCCCAAAGACACCAAATCTAACGACCCAGGTTCGGGTATCCCCTTGTTACGCATTCACCTACTGCTTGAAACAAGGTTTGGTCACGGCATCAAATAAAACGGGGAGCGGGAAAATGCGCTGCCAGACCGGGGTTCGAACCATAACCCTTCCTAACTCTAGACGGATGCTCTACATACTGAGCTCACTGGTCGCCGACGACCGACCCCGTCCAGTTCCGCTGCAATAAAGTCCAAGGTCAATTTTCCAAAGTTGAGAGTGGGGAGGGTACGGTTTTGGTTTGCATCGTCCGTCATTTAGTTTGTATATGACAACGATTGTCGACCTATGTGGCGGATTGTGAGATTTCTCAGTTCTTCATATTACCAGTGTTCCGTTCTATAAATAAATAATTTCTGTCCTTCCCAGTCATTCAATATTGTCGATAACTCGGACTTAGAATAGTCACCGGTACTTGTAGATACAATTTCAATAAATTTAGTCTACAAGTACATGTGGTATTACATAAGGAATTCAAATATACTAATCCAGTTTTCTTTCATGACGTGTCTTAGTAAACGTACTGATGTTTTAGTTTTAGTGTATGCCAAATTGATGTGGCAAAAGATGGTTAGCGCTGGAATGGAATCCGGCGCTGGAGCTATCGATTTGTGAAGATAATCCACTACCGTAACACATGTCAAACACTTACCATCAAGGTGACGAATCGTTTGATTACCAACAATAATGTTAGCAACAATACCATTTGTGTACTATATTTTCACCACGGACAAACACACATGTGTATATATCGAGTGCAGTAGTAAAAAAAAACCGGTGCTACTAACGCTATAACAGGAAAAGGAAAGGTCATTTCATATCCATTTACTTAAATTTGAAATCAAAGGCCAATTTTGCAAATGAAATTATGAGTTATCTCCCTTACATTGTTAAAAATTTATAACAACTTAGATATCCAACGGTAAGTATAAGTAATGTGATAAATGATGCTTACACACTGGTACCCGACTGTGCAACGATAACGTAAATATCCAGACATAAAAATCTATTTTAACGCATCCTTTAAATTATGCACGAAATCAACACATCTGAAAGCTTCTCCTGTTCTATTGGAGCTAACGAAATTTTAAATTAGGAATAATATAGAAATCTACTGCATCAGAGGTTTCCCTCCAAATTGTTCCACGTGTGTACAGTCACCTGAGAACATGCACTAATTAGCCTTACGTTAAGGGGTGCTTATAAAATATCCACCGTAACCTCGATTTATACACTCAATAACACAATTACATGAACTATTGTGTGTATGACACTTTGCACACGGTATGGTAGTAATTGCAGTTTCAGTCTAAAGAACAAAGCCGAGAACAAGTTCGTGAATGTTGAAGCTCTTTATGTCACCATGTAACGTTTTGCCGGGAACTATTTCATAACAAATGTATCAAAAATACTTCACACCAGCCATAATTTATGAAAAAAAAAATTCCTGAAATACGAACTGCTGAAAAATACATGCTATATATAGAATGGATCAATAGAAAATCTCATATATGTTATTAATAGAGATATAATTTCATAAAACTCCATGAAATGAAAAGTTACAATCTGACAGGTTTTAAAATGTGCACGCAGCCATTTTGTTGTACAATTGTTTAACTCATTACGTAACGTTACTGTAAAATGTACTGTTCATTCATTCGAAGAAAACTCGTGGAAAGAAAGAATGGATGATGACCGCGAGTTCTATGGATTTAAATTAATTCATAATAAACTAGCTCCCCACATATTGTGGAAGCTATTAATTAAGTTTCCTCAGAATAAGGAATCCATAGTTAGTATTATGAAACTTATTGTGTCCATCAGAAATGTAAACACAGTTGAATTATGTCACAGATGTGGCCAAACGTATGAAGATGTGTATACTCATACAGTCTTACAGTGCAATTTTACTAAAGAAATTCGAGATCAATTATGGTGTCAAATGATCAGTATCAGTGATCATGAGTTTAGCGTATATTTACATGATCACTCTGATTTTGACCTATTCCATATCTTGATTGGTGGATAAGTAATGTATGAATTGAATTTAAAAGAAATATCACAGTTTTACCTTAATTCAGTCCATTATGTTTCAAAAATGCTTAAAGCATATTATGGTTAAAATGTATATGATACAAATTACATACAAAGAATCATCAATATATATATATATATATATATATATATATATTTGAGTAATGTAATTATGACGCATCTTATATGTTGCTTTGGCATTTTGTAACTATTTAATCATTATAATACTTATGTTATAATGATCACTGTATTGCAAAAATGATGTACCTCAATGTTCCGATGTGATTTTGTAACGACTTGATTACTATAATTATCCTAATGTTATAATATCGTGGTAATAATTTTGATTTGCACGCCAATTCAACGTTCTCTTTCACTAAATTAATGTTGTTCTTTTCGTAAAAATCTTCTTAAAGGAGGAAATAAAGAGAATAATAATCACATTTGATTTGTATTTGACGCAGTCGGTGAAAAGAAACATCCCAGGCTATGTTACACTACTGACAGATTCACTGGTTAACAGGTGGACAGTGTGATAAAACTGTATATAACTCACGCCCATTGTCTACAACCTAAAAGTAAAATACAACTAGATTCCAGTAGATTATTGGAATTATAAAAGTACATTACTGAACTACAAAAATCATGTTCTGGTACGAGGTAAACCTGCACACGTCACTGACGTCGTAGTTTCTGAAGCATCCTTTGGTGAAAGGGTTCAAATTTGTATCGACCAAAACACTTCCGCCTGTCCGCTGTGTCCCCGGGACAAGATCACGACCTTGTTGAGACGGCTCGACTCATTGTGAAGTGTACTTATGGAACTCTCGATATTTATATGTCTATCTTTTATATCTCTGGTGGAGACAGAGGGACGTGGCCATATAAAGAAAATGACAAAGGTACATTTTAAACCTAAAAAATCCTTCTTCTGTTCAGATAAAACGGATTTTAACCAAATATGGCATCAGATTAAACTTGAGTGATGGAGTCTTGTCATCCTTGAAGCAGAAAGGCAAGGCTCAGCGGGGGAAAGACAATGCTTAAAGTATATATGTTTGATTAACGGATTTTGACTTAAAGTGTCTTTGATTTAAGGGATATACGTTTTGTATAAAAGGAGGGTCTCACCAGTCTGGTGGTGGAGGGGTGGGATCCAGGGAACTAGAATAAAGTTGTCTTCTGTAAAGACTAAAGGGTTTGTTAAGATTGTGCGTCCTTAATGGTTTTGATCGAACACACTCTATTGAAAATGACTCGTCGGTTTTTATAAATTGAGGGGATGGCCACCTTTGGAGCAAAGTCCCAGTACGGGACTTCTGTTTGATTTAAGGGTTGTCGGTAAAATATTACCAACAAGGAATATAGGGACCCGATTTTGTGAAAACAGGAGCCAAGTGACGGGGTCGGGGAGAAAAATTAGAAAAGAGAAATATTTAAGACTCTTCTTTGCAATATTATTGTAAATTTCTTAACTATCTTACGGGTCCCATGTTAAGTCCAGGTATAGATATTAAGGAAGGAAGTGTGTTAATGGTGCACCGTTTGTTACTTAGTTTTCAGTGATAAATAAACACTTGTAAAGTCGTATTATCATACACTGAAATGATCAAGGTGAGCGATACCAGCTCACCAGATACCTAACAACTCTGTCAGACTATTGATCATTATGAAATATGTTGTGTGCTGTCTTCCAGGTATCTTCAATAAGGGACTTTGATATATAAAGCTTAAATATGTCATTAGTAACAAAATTTTTCAAATGTTAAACTAAAACACGAATCCGACATTTGACAATACATGCAGTTTTGTTTCAATTTGACAAGAGCGTTTCTGATGACATGAAAACGTGTTAGGGAAGTCCATTAGTACATTACCGTGACAGACACTGGGATAATCAGAAGCCAGGGCTAATAAACCTGGTTAGTTACAGGACAGCTAGCAGGTGTGATCACGTGCACCGCTCGTTTTATGATTATCGACGTATCTTTCATTAGGGTGAGTTTCGTGGTATGTAGCGGTGAGTCTATTTAGCATGATCGTTCCAC